AACCTGAAAACAGATTTAGCAACTCCTAATGTGAGTGGCTAAAATGTAACAGAAGGTTGAAGTAGATTACTTTCCTCACTGATGTACTTGAGTAGAAGTAAAAGTACTGTCATTTCAAAACACTAAGACAAGTAGAAATCCATTAACATTTTTCTTATGTAGCTACATATGACTGAGTGAATGTGACTAGTGTTAGCTTAGCGCTAACATACTACCAGGGATGTAAGCAGAAATTAGCGTTATTGTAGAAGTATTTTTCCCTAATTTTTTACTGTAATAGGCAGTTCTTCAGACTCTATTCATCTCCTTGTGGGAGTTTTGGCCAAAAATAAACTGCTAAAGCTCCAAAATAAGATGAGCGAGCAGCAGCAACCGGAAAAGAGAGCTAGCAACTCCTAATGTGAGTGGCTGAAATGTAACAGAGGGTTAAAGTAGATTACTTTCCTCACTGATGTACTTGAGTAGAAGTAAAAGTACTGTCATTTCAAAACACTAAGACAAGTAGAAATCCTACAGGGTGCTAGCAGAAATTAGCGTTATCATAGAGGTATTTTTTCACTCATTTTTGACTGTAATAGTCACAGTTTCCTGCTGAGCATCTTTAAGCACAGGATCTGAAGCTTGTTAGATTATATTTGTCTCCTTATGGCAGATTTTGGCCAAAAATAAAATATGAATACTCCAAAGTAAGAGGAGCGAGCAGCAGCAACCTGAAAACAGAGCTATTCACTCTTAATGTGAGTGGCTAAAATTTACCAGAGTAAAATTAGCAACTTTCCTGACTGATATACTTAAGTAAAGGTAAAAGTACTGTTATTTCAAAACACTAAGACAAGTAGAAATCCATTCACATTTCTCCTATGTAGCTACATACAACTGAGTGAATGTGACTAGCATTAGCTTAGCGCTAACATACTACTAGAATCCTACGGGTGCTAGCAGAAATTAGCGTTATCGTATCAGTGTTTTTTCCCTCATTTTTGACAGTAATAGTCACGATTTCCTACTGAGCATCTTTAAGCACAGGATCTGAAGCTTGTTACATTCTGTTCATCTCCTTATCGGAGTTTTTGGCCAAAAATAAACTGCGAATACTCCAAAGTAAGAGGAGCGAGCAGCAGCAACCTGAAAACAGAGCTAGTAACTCTCAATTTGAGTAGGTAAAATGTAACAGAGTAAAAGTAGTAACTTTCCTCACTGATATACTTGAGTAGAAGTAAAAGTACTGTCGTATAAATACACTAAGACAAGTAGAAATCCCTTAACATTTCTCTTATGTAGGCTACATACAACTGAGTGAATGTGGCTAGCATTAGCTTAGCACTAACATACTACTAGAATCCTACAGGGTGCTAGCGGAAATTTACATTATCATAAAGGTGTTTTTTCCCTCATTTTTGACTGTATTCTCTTTGGGCCTCTTTAAGCACAGGATCTGAAGCTTGTTTGATTCTATTTGTCTCCTTGTGGGAGTTTTTGGCCAAAAATCTAATGCAAATGCTTCAAAATAAGAGGACCAAGAGCAGCAGCCGGAAAAGAGAGCTAGTAACTCTCAATGTGGGTAAAATGTAAAAGTACTAACTTTCCTCACTGATATACGTGAGTAGAAGTAAAAGTACTGTCATTTAAATAGACTAAGACAAGTAGAAATCCATTAACATTTTTCTTATGTGGGCTACATGTGACTGAATGTGACTACACACCACCTCAGGCGACAAAATGTCTGCTGATGACAAAGTAGACATAAATGGAGAAGAAACAGACGTGAGACAACATTTAAAAATTACTTCATGGTCATGATCGCACACTATTGGCGTTCCATTGCGACCAATCAGCAGATATCAGAAGCATGAAGGACGCAGGCCAAATGTAACAGAAGCTCCGTTAGTCACATTTGTTGGTGTAAGTCAAACTCAGATCCTGGAAGGCCACGGCATTTCACTGGTCAGCACAACCCCCTCTTCTCAATTCCACATTATTCATTACATCTGTCTTATAAAACCTTGATTTTGATTTGTCTTATGAAACATTGATGAAAATTTAGTTCCAAGTAATTTTGGACCATTTCTACTGGTCCATCTATCATAAACTGTTCACATAATGTAAAAGGCAGTGGGTACTTTCAAATAATATAAGGCTGTTTTAAGTATCACAATTCTTTCAAAATGTAAAACAGTAAATACAATAAATCAGACAACAAAAATGTAGAGACAACAGGTGTTGTCACAAAGCAGCTTTACAAAAAATTTGTATCCCCAGCAAGCAAGAAAAACTCCCTAAGAGCAAGAGGAAGAGACCTTGAGAGGAACCAAGACTCAAATGAGCAACTCATCCTTCTCTGGTTGACAATTAAGAGCAAAACATTAACACAGCAAGAGCAATAAGAATAGATAATATGATTTTACAAGTAATATACTGTATTGAATATAGAGAAACAGTCACTGGACTGAAGTATTTAGATCGATAGTCTCCAACCTTGGTCCTGGAGTGCAGCCTTCCTGCAGAGCCAAGTTCCAACCACAATTTGCAACACCTGCTCCAGCTAATCAACTTCTTCCTAAGTCCCTGATCTGGCTGAATCAGATGTATTAGAGTTAAGTAAGGGGCGGGGCAGCTTATTGAATACAGGTTGAAACTAAACTCTGCAGGAAAGAAACTCCCGGACCAGGGTTGGAGACCACTGATTTAGATTAACCTATAATAACCAGTGACTACTGTTACAGGCCTTTCAGAGTTACAATAAGAAACAGATGTAGGAAAATCAGTCACTGTTACCAGTGAAAACCAGTGAGTACTGTTAGGAGCGTATTGCAGTGAAAATGAGAGTTAAATACATGAATATCAGTGACTACACACACAATTTAGGGCCTCTGCATATGAATAGTTGTTTTTTGCTGTTTGCTGTTGCAAGTCGTGACTTTAATAAATGAACAGGGTTATGGAAAGTCACTAGTTCACAACAACAACATGTCCTCTCAGAGGCCGAACTATGTACTTTGGATATGAGTATATACACCGATCAGGCATAACATGATGACCATCTCCTTGTTTCTACGCTCATTGTCCATTTTATCAGCTCCACTTACTATATAGGTGCACTTTGTAGTTCTACAGTTACAGACTGTAGTCCATCTGTTTCTCTGATACTTTGTTAGCCCCCTTTTACCCTGTTCTTCAGTGGTCAGGACCCCCATGGACCCTCACAGAGCAGGTACTATTTGGGTGGTGGATCATTCTCAGCACTGCAGTAACACTGACGTGGTGGTGGTGTGTTAGTGTGTGTTGTGCTGGTCTGAGTGGATCAGACACAGCAGTGCTGCAGGGAATAAAAGTGTGGAGGTGCTGTGTCCTTCACTCTGTTCTCCTCCTACATGGCCTGCTGTTGGTGTGTGTGTGTGTCTGTGTTTGTGTGTATGTGTGTATGTGTATGTGTTTGTATATGTGTGTGTGTGTGAGGTTGGACAACACAGACAGGCTGCTGACTGGCTACAGCACCTAAAGGACCGGTTTAAACATCTGGTATTTTTACATAAATTGTTATGGCTGTATTAATTTTTTAAAAAAATTTGGTGGGGTGGGTCCACCAAATACTGTCCATATATTTCGAATCTGGTGGCAGCAGTGCAGTGCATGAAATTATGCAGATTGAGGTGGATGGGCTACAACAGCAGAAGACCATGTCGAGTTCCACTTCTGTCAGCCAAGAACAGAAAGCTGAGGCTGCTGTGGGCACAAGCTCACCAAAAATGGACAGCTGAAGACTAAAAAAAAACACAGCCTGGTCTAATGAATCTCAGTTTCTGCTGAGGCACACAGATGGTAGGGTCAGAATTTGGCACCAGCAGCATGAATCCATGGCCCCAACCTGTCCCCCACCGGTCCAGGCTGGTGGAGGTGGTGTAATGGTGTGGGGAATGTTTACTGGGCACACTTTAGGCCCCATTAATACCAATCAATTACCTTGGAGCAAAGAATTGAGGATGCTTTGAGAGCAAAAGGAGACCCTAACCAGTATTAGTACAGTGTTCCTAATTAGGTGAGTGTATACATGCAAGACATGGTAGACTAAACTGTCACCTTCAGGTAATCAGTACTTCAAGCCTTAAATCATGCTCCAGATCTGAAAAACATCCACAAGTGTTTCTGTCCTTCCACTGTGAGAAGACAACCCAGTGCTATGGGTCTGAAAGGATGTGTAGCTCAAGAAGAAGCCCTTACTGAGGAAAGAAAATAGACAAAAATGCAAATAATGCGCACTAGAACATCTGATGTGTTGAAAATGGTTTTATGGACTAAAGTCTAAATGGGTAATTGAGATTGTGAAAAGCAGAAAATGCAACCACTGTCCAAGACTGAACTTTGGAGCTGAAAAGAATGGAAGCTGTAATTTTGGCAAAGAATGAACACATTAAACACTGAAAAATGTGATATTACATTTAGTTGTTGTAATTTTCTGTGAAATATAATTTTTCTACTTTTTTCCTTGACGATGAAAAATGAATAACTTGTACATAATGGTATATGTTAACTGTATATATATATATATATATATATATTGCTGTTGTTGGACCAAACCTCATATTTCCAAAATGGTAACTTTAAAGGAGAAGGAAAAAATGTACTTTTAATGTAAGTCAGTGGAACCAGACTTTTTTCCAAGTAATATCAAGTAGAATCAGGTGTGTTATACTGGGGGAAAGAGTAAATGTTACATCACAGCGGCCTTCCAGGACTGCAGGCTTACTCCCACCCCCACATCACCCCCCCTTCCCCCTACCCCCTAAGTATAGGATGTACTGGCATGAGGTGGTGGTGATGGCGGGGGGGGTCATTTGAAGGTGCCTCAGGCCACTGGAATTTGTTCTTTAGAGTGCTGAAGCGATGACATCAGATGATGTGGTCATGACTAGTAATGAATGGCCTGAGGTCAAAGCACAGTGACATACATAGAGAGAGCGAGAGAGAAAGAGAGAAAGACAGATGATCTCACTGTGACACATTGTTGTGGTCCCTCCCCGAGAGTGGGTATATATATATATGACAGATTAGAGGACGGAGTTACAGAGCAGAGCCAATTGCTTTGGGACTCCACACAAGACACTGGACTATTGCTTCACCACCACAGAGAGAGCGAGAGAGAGAGAGAGAGAGAGAGAGAGAGAGAGAGAGAGAGCGAGAGACAGAAAGAAACAGCTGTTAAGTCAAGAAGGACAATAGTGCAATTAAAAGAGAGCGGGCTCAACAGAAATGGGACTGCTACGTGTTGAAGACCTGGTAAGTCGTATACGTCATCCATGTCAAGTGTAGGTTAATGTACAGAGTTGGGTTTTGCCTTCAAGAGTGCATTACATGTTGGTATGCAAATTGAAGTCCTAAAGGAATACTCCAATTAACCTAATCTGAATCTAATCTCTATCTGCCGCATCTGTGGCATGCAGTCAATTGTCCTAGACAATAATTTGGACACATGTCCTTGGACATAGAAGCAAGACATACTTACAATACATTGTAAAACATAACAATTGCATTCAAATGCAAATCTAGTACCATGTACTATATCTTGTAAAATGTCATAGTGACTTAATATCAATTAATTTGGATAAATCCTACAGAATGAAGTGTCTTAGCAGTTTTATTGATTTCTGTGATTAACTTTTTAGCTATTTTTTCTAATTTTTCTTGAGTTGTCTTCTCATAATGCCATTTTTGTGCCGTAGCATGCCGTCACTGTCCAAAGAAAAACAAGTATCTCCATTTTTGGCGATTTTTATTTTTCTCCATCATTTGAGCTCGGCGGCTGCCCTTAACTGCTTGGAATAAAATCTCTTTACATTAATGTCCAGTAAAAGTAAAGAATGTTTTGCCTTCTTCCAAAAGTTGCCATTTTGGAGGTTCTTCCTTTCTTTGGACAGCGATGATAGTCTTGTGCTAAAATGTTACGTCTGGATGCATTTTACATGTTATTCTCACCACGGTGGTGTTTTGTATTCAGGTTTATCACTTCGACCTACAGCCATGCATGCTATTAGCTGGTGAATGGATGTGCAGCCGTTCATTCATTACTGTATGAGACATTCCATTTGGAATAATGGAGTTGTTTCATAGCCAATATCAGTATCAGTACATTGCACATAGAAAATGTTTTGCAGGAAAGTGCAATTAAATGATCTACCTAACTAAGCTAATTCAAGTTAACCTACCTACATTGAGCGTAAACAGAACCCAAAAAGGTAGAGAACTGCCAGCTCAACTCAAACTATTTAAAATGATTGGGCTGTTTGAGTTTGCCTTACTTGCTAAGAAAGTGTGGCTCACGGAGAACTAGAAAGTATCATAACTCCAATACGCACTTAAAAAAGATGGGTTCTCAAGGGTTCTTTAGTAAAGGCAGTGGTTCTATTTAGAACCATAGGTTCATTTCATGCTTTGCATGATGAAACAGTTCTTCAGACCGATGGAGAATGTGTTGTATATGGTTCTATATAGCACCAAAACGGTTCTGCTATTGTTACAATTTCAAGCTTGGAACAATAGCAGGGCTTTTTGGTTTGGTGCTATATAAAACCACTATCAGAAAGGTTCTACTGCACCTTCTCCATCAATCTGAAGAACCATTTCTCCATGCAAAGGACCATTTAAGCATGAATTAGTTCAATATCGAACCATTGCTTTTACTGAAGAATCCTATTTAGGCTTGAACCAGTTAAATAACTTAATTTTTTTCGAGGCAGCAAGTTTGCGTCTTTTTTTAGGTTAAGTCAGTTAATTTAAGTTCATAGAGTAGAAGCCAGTGGGCAGATGCTGACGCTTGGCATGCATATAAACATCCGTGCATCCATTTACAGACAGCAAGTGAGACAGTACGAGAGAATAACATATGCTATTACTAAGACTCTGTGGGTGATTAAGCCTGATCCGATGTGTCTCGAATAGCCCAACTGCTCCAGGGAATGTCCTCCTATTTTAAACGGCACAAATGATTGCATGAGAATAACTCAGAGATTCCTGATCTCAAGGCCAGCCAGCCTGACTTAACTAACCATAAAAAACACATTTGCCTGGAGGCGAGAAGCAGAAAGACTGACAGGTGTTTTGTCCATTTGCAGGTCACGGGGAAGAGGTGTGAGGGGAAGGAGGCAGGGGATGCGTGTGCAGAAGTGTACGCGGCAGGAGAGTATGAGGCGGTGGTCAATCGCGAGAAACAGGACGGCTTTTCAACACATACCGATCTGAGCACAGCGAACAGCAGCAGCCAGGATGAAGACAACCTCACACTCAATGTAAGAACGCAATAGATTTGAATAGAATACTTTAATTGTTATTGTACAACACAATCAAATTCAGTTTGCAGCCTGAGTTTGATTCGTACAGTTGAAATGAATAATAATAATAATTCCTAACATTATTAATATCCCACTGGGCGGCACAGACGGGACAGTTCTATATAGTACCAAAAAAGGTTCTATTGCTTGCACAATAGGGGACCCTTATTGGTGCTCTTTAGAACCAGGTTTCTTTAAAGCAGTTGTTCTCAAAGTTCTGCTCCAACCCAACTCTCAACAGAAATAGAGCAAAAATGGAGGTTGTCAGGGGGCCCAGAAGGACCACCACACGCAACAGATTTTCCATCATAGTGAGGAACCATCCATTATCTATGCAAAGAATCACAGATTCTTCAAGTTGTCATGGTTCTATAGGTAACCAGTGCCTTCACTACCCTGCCAGAAAAACAGCATCACCACTGAAACCAGCGCATGTTGTGTTTTGGATGCTGGTATGCTGGTCCACCAGCATGACCATGCTGGATGACTAGCTGAACCAGCTTAGGCCTGTGCGAAGAACCTAAGCCGGCAGAGGCAAAGAACCTGAAGAAACACTTTTTTTTTGACAATGCACTGCAGTCATGGGTGATCACATTTATCATTATCATCACATTTAGGAGCCCCCCCCACTCCCCCACCCCCCGTCCCTGGACCCCCGCCAACCACCATCACCGAGCAATCACACTACATTTCACAGCAGCATTGCATTTTTACTACAACATGACAAGATTTAAGTTCAAATCACTACTGAAGGAGTCTAATATAAGGCGGTGAATCCCAGAACAGCAATAATAGAGAATAGCATTATCGCAGTGATGGGAATAGGATAAATACAGGCTCCTTATGAAGCTTCTTGTCATTTGGGAACAGCGAGTATTGTAAAAATTGTGTGGATGACAAAAATTAAATCTTATTTTGATGCCTTTTTTCAAAACGGAGGGCTTAGCCTGCCCTGCTAAAAACAGCATAGACTAGAATGAATTCTGTGCTGGTTTTGCCAGTACAGTCATGCTGGTTGACCAGCATACCAGCACCTAAAACACAACACATGCTGATTTTGCTTCTGATCAGCATTTTAACTGCAATTGCTGCTGACCAGCATTCAGGACACAACATACGTTGGTGCTGCTGGTGACCAGCTGTGCAGTTTTCTTAGCAGGGCGCTAATCCATTTATACCAGCACACCCCTGGTGTAAGGTTGCAAATCTGTGATCATGCTTTTTATTGTCATTTCCACAGCCAAGTGAACTGCACTGTAACTGGTGGGTCATCACTTGGATCCAGAATCAAAGTCGACTTCCAAATCTCTGGAATCCAACAGGCCTACATACAAGTGCTGATTTTGGTTGCTCTTCTTGTTGGGGTGCTGTGCGTGTTGAGCCACAATGTATGGGTAAAAACAGTGCAGACCACTTGGTCGAACTACAGTCATCATAGAATCATCACCAAAATTTCTTAACCGCACTAACTAGCCTGAATCACATCCTGTGGCTCTTCACATAAAACCAAACGCAGAGCAAAAGCTTAAGCTAGCACTAGCATGTGTCCACTAGAGGTTCACCTACCATATAGGTGCACTTTGTAGGTTTACAATTACTGATGGTAGCCTATAGGTTTATCAGCCCCTCTTCCCGTTCATCAGTGGAAAGGGACCACCATAGGACCACCATCAACACAGCAGTGACACCGGCACAGCATGATGCTCGTATGCTGGTCAACCAGTATGACCATGCTGGGTGGCTAGCTAAATTTGACCCTAACTTGGCAAAAACAAAGAACCCGAAGAAACAGTGTACTGCAGTCATGGTTGGTCAAAATGTTGGATGGAAGGGACCACCATAGGACCACCATCAACACAGCAGTGACACTGGCACAGCACGATTTTACTACATTGTGCTTCAAATTGGAGCAGCAAGGCTAATGTTGCTACCAAACATAGAATTCAATAGACACTCAAATCTTCTGCTTAAAGTGTATTTCTCTGGACAGAAATTGACCACTGATGAAGGGCTAGAGGATGGCTAACAGAAATTGTGGCTACAATCTTTAACTGTAAACCAAAGGAGGGGTTTCCAATAAAGTGGCCAGTAAGTGTAAGCTACTTAAGCAGCTCAAGTGGTGATATGAAATTATGTGTAAAGTAATTACAACTATATTATGACTAACAAAGTTACTCTTTGTATCCGTATAATAAACGTTTTCATTTCTGTTAGATTGACCGGTTAGGTCACCTGAAGCTGGAGACTGTAGACGATCTCTTCAGCATCCTCGAGCTGAAGAAGAGGAGGAAAGAGAGGAAGATATGTGCTCACAAGAAGGAACCTGAACCTGAGATAGTGGTGAGAGAGGAAGAGAGAGAGAGAGAGAGAGAGAGAGCATACTGTCATATATAACTGGAAGATGTAACCCAATACTCTTGTGTTGTAGCCAGAAACAGTGGACCAGGCCATGTTCCTCAAAGCTGCTGAGGAAAATAAGCTAGCTGTGGTGGAGAAGTACCTGTCTGATGGTGGAGACCCCAATGCCTGTGACCATGTGAGTGTAAATATTCTCTCAATATTATGACTGATGGTGTGTAACGCATGGCCTCATGTATACGTACCAATAAAGCATGATTAATTGGGCGAACATCATTTGAAAATGCCAGCTGCCCTTTACATCGTGTGAACATTTCATGATGAACAGACCAAAATGACTTGAAATATGATATCGGTACAGTAAATGTCATTACCCCTTAACAGCCCTAGCCCAAAGTTTTATTACACACTTCTATAACCTAAGAATAGCTCCATTAGTTTGCACTGAAATCCCTGTACTTACTTAATAATAAGCTTTAGTATGAAATACACCTGGATTTTAAGGGGTTCTTTAGTTTAGCGCTGGAGCAAAGACGCTAGTGTTGATAACAAGCACTAGAAAACAATAGTCACCCAAATCAGTTTTTGTTTTGTTCATTTTTATAGTTCACAGTAATTCATACTGTGTCCTAAACCACATCGACAAGTGTGCACACAACCTTAACGAAGAGCTGGATGCGGAGTTTTTTTACGGCGCTGATTTGGGTGACTATTGACTTCTAGTGTTTGTTAGCGATGTTAGCTTCATAGTTTTAGCACTAAACTAAATTAGGAAAGTAAAATTTGGGCACTAAACAGGTCTTGGCTGACATCTGGGGTAAATGGAACATGTTTTCCTGCTGTAAAGGTACCATTTTGGAGATTTGGAGGTTTTTTGTATATTGTAGCTGTGTAAACAGTAACAGCTGTTGTGTCTATTATGATCTCTCTCTATGTTTCTCTATATATCTCTCTCTCTTTCTGTCTCTTTTTCAGTTCAAGCGTTCTGCTCTGCATAAAGCCTGCTTTCACGGTCACATTGAGGTCATGAAGAGGCTTCTGGAGGCCGGAGCTTCAATTGAGAACAAAGACAAGGTACATTGATTGGTTAGAGAGCTCATTCACATGTTACAGCCTTCTGTGATACCAGCATTGCAAAGGCCAACATCATGATAAAGATTAACAAGCGATATATAGTGCAGCCATAACTGATATATAGTATATTCAGTTCTCAAAGACGAGGGACAGTGCTGATTTCTTAAGTGCTTGAATTGCTTTAGTTAATTTAAGAAATTTTAAATAATCACAAGTCTGTTCATGAGTTGGTTCGACTGCATGTCTTTGCAGCTGGACGCTACAGCCGTGCACTGGGCCTGCAGGGGGGGCTGTCTGCCTGCACTGGAACTGCTGCTGAACGAGGGAGGCAAAATCAGCTCCAGAGACAAGGTATATATTAACATGGGGCTTGAACTCTATAGGCATTACGGTCGCATACATAGGTGAAATATTGATATACTCTCACTTAACACGGTTGAAGCAGGTGGTAGGAATCAATGCATGAATGAATGCAATGAATTTACCTGATTATAATGTGTACATTATAGATACATGAATGAGAGATATAACACTGACCACTAGAGATTTATGGAAAGGGGGGCTACGCCTTTACTGAATGGGGGTCTAAAGGGTTAATAATCTGGGTGACAGATGTTCACGGTCATAGTGATATTTTACAGCAGAAATATTACACATAAAATTTAGGCTTTAACCCCCATTAAAACTGACCTAGCGATGCCCCTGACATTGACACAGTCATAGCCAAAATGAAAGAAACCGAAAGACATAAAACAAGTGATAATTGTATTGTTGTAATATATTTTTGAAGTCAATTCAAGGCATTTGTGTACCTTTAAGTATAATATAGACTGCTAATTATACTTGATTGGACTATCTGTAAGCATAGAAGTCGGCCCAACAATCATGCATTCAAACTAGTAGCGGTTATTTTCTGACCAACCAGAGCTAAATCTATAGGCCGAGTGAATGCAGTGAGCTCACTCAGTGGTGGACTAAGCAGAAGTGTTGGCTCTGTGTGATTGCAGCTATACAGCACTCCGCTCCATGTAGCGGTCAGGACTGGCCATTACGAGTGTGCGGAGCATCTCATCCACTGCGGAGCGGACATCAGCGCTAAAGACAGGGTAAGAGATCAGAACAAACTTCAAACACATGATAAAGTGAAGAGTACGTAGACCTGCTGGATCCATCATTACTTTAGGCCTCCTTTAGTAAGGCTGATGGTGGACCTATGACTAATGCAAGGCCATTTCTGAACATTTCAGGGACACTTCAATCATCCATAACACTTTATTTGGAGTGGTCCTTTGTAGATGATTAATAAACTCTTAACAGATTATCAGTAACACATCAACAACATATCAGTAGTAGTGAAGCATCTGAATACACTGAAGTAAATGTCTTGTAGATGTTCTGTTGATACATTACTAACATTAAGTAGATGTATTTATAATATACTTCCATTACGCAACACCTAACCTTACCAACCTTACCCAAAACCTAATCCTCACCCTGGCCTTAATCCTAACCCTAACTTTAACCTCAACCCAAAACCCTCACCCTGGCCCTAATCCTAACCCTAACTTTAACCTCATCCCAAAGCCTAACCCTCACCCTGGCCCTAATCCTAACCCTAACTTTAACCTCATCCCAAAGCCTAACCCTCACCCTGGCCCTAATCCTAACCCTAACTTTAACCTCATCCCAAAGCCTAACCCTCACCCTGGCCCTAATCCTAACCCTAGCCCAAATCTCAACCCAAAACCTAATCCTCACCCTGGCCCTAATCCTAACCCTAACTTTAACCTCATCCCAAAGCCTAACCCTCACCCTGGCCCTAATCCTAACCCTAGCCCAAACCTCCACCCAAAACCTAACCCTCACCCTGGCCCTAATGCTAACCCTAGCCCAAACCCCATCCCAAAACCTAATACTAACCTTCATATGTTTTTGATGTTATGGTTTTTATTTGTTGAATCCAATAAACAAACATTAACTGTGCATTAAAAAGTGCTGATGTGTATCCTCTGCAGGTGACATGCTAATTACTGTCACTTTCGCCAATTCACCAATTTTGCTGAATTTCAATTGAGCTGTATTACCGTTGTGTGTCTATGCAGGAGGGAGACACGCCCTTACACGATGCAGTGAGGATCAACAGGTTCAAAATGATCCAGCTGCTGCTGATGTACGGGGCCAGCATGAAGACCAAAAACAACGTGAGTTCAGATGGTTGTAAATGTACAAACGTGCACCGTAAAATGTACCATCCACCGATCAGGCACAACTTTATGACCACCTGCTTGTTTCTACGCTCACTGCCCATTTTATCAGCTCCACTTACTATATAGGTGCACTTTGTAGTTCTACAGTTACAGACTGTAGTCCATCTGTTTCTCTCACACTTTGTTAGCCCCCTTTTACCCTGTTCTTCAGTGGTCAGGACCCCCATGGACCCTCACAGAGCAGGTACTATTTGGGTGGTGCATCATTCTCAGCACTGCAGTAACACTGACGTGGTGGTGTGTTAGTGTGTGTTGTGCTGGTACGAGTGGATGAGACACAGCAGTGCTGCTGGAGTTTTTAAACACTGTGTCCACTCACTGTCCACTCTATTAGACACTCCTACCTTGTCAGTCCACCTTGTAGATGTAAAGTCAGAGACGATAGCTCATCTGCTGCTGCACAGTTTGTGTTGGTCATCCTCTAGTCCTTCATCAGTGGTCACAGGACGCTGCCCACAGGACACTGTTGGCTGGATATTTTTGTTTGGTGGACTATTCTCAGTCCAGCAGTGACACTGAGGTGTTTAAAAACTCATGTGAAGGGAAGTCAAAGATAACCGGTAGTGGTTTTGGAGGTCAGTGAGTCAATTTAACAAAGCCCTCTACTTTTAGCAGATCTCCACACACTTAAAACAGACGGTTCCCCAAGAGTTCTTTAGTAAAGGCATTGGTTCTATTTAGAACCTATCTAAAACCATTTCATGCTCATGGTGAAATGGTTCTTCAGACTGATAGAGAATGTGTTGTATTTGGTTGTATATAGAACATTTTTTGAAAATGGTTCTATATAGCACCAAGAAGCATTCTACTATTGTTATGTCAAGCTTGGAACAATAGCAAAACCATTTTTTGGTGCCATATAAAAGCATTTTCAGAAAGGTTCTACTACACATTCTCCATCAATCTGAGGAACCATTTCACCATGAGCATGAAACGGTTCTATATTGTCTAGTTATAACACCAAAAAGGGTTCCTCTATTGTTATAAGCTCGACATCATAACAATACAAGAACCCTTTTTGGTGCTACACAGAACCATTTTCAAAACTGTGTGACACATTTTCCATCAATCTGAAGAACCATAATAGCATGAAACGGTTCTATACAGAACTCATGGTTCTAAATAGAACCTTTGCCTTTACTAAAGAACCCTTGAAGAACCATCCTACTATTTAAACAGTGGAGGAAAGTGTTCTGCTTACAGTGTTTACACGTAGTTTACACTGGTTCTAGTTCACTATTATGTTGACTGAGCACATAGTGACCTCTGTTGGTTGCTCAGGTGCTGATATGAGAACTCCAAAAGTTTGGTGACAGAAGCGGATTGTAGGGTTTTTACTTTTTTGTTTGTTTGTTTGTTTTTTGAAATGGCCAATTTATTAATTCCAAGCTGAGATTCCATTGTCCCTGCAAGCTTAAAGGGGAGCTACATCAATTTCCCAAAATTTCTGCATAAATAAGCAGTTAAGATGTAAAAGAAAGTCATTCAGAGTGGGTCGATGTGAAATGTTCTGTTCTAAACTCTTTGGTGCTATGTAGAACCATTTTCAAAAAAAGCCTCTCTGACACATTCTCCGTCGATCTGAAGAACCATTTTAGCAAGAAACGGTTCTATACAGAACTTATGGTTCTGAATAGAACCTTTCCCTTTACTAAAGAACCCTTGAAGAACCATCCTACTATTTAAACAGTGGAGGGAAGTGCTCTGCTTACAGTGTTTACACGTAGTTTACACTGGTTCTAGTTCACTATTATGTTGACTGAGCAAAAATGTTCTCCACAATTAACCATTTTATATAAAAACACTGAATGACTTTGTTTACATCTCAGCAAAAATGTTTTAAGAAAATGGGCCTTTTGCAAAGTGATTATGCTCAAAGATTATTTATTCTATTTGTTTATATGAAATGACCAAAAATATCATAGACTAGGATTTCCATTGAATTTCCATTGATTTTTTAAAATTATTTTATTATTTCTATTGTATTATTTAAATGGTGATTTTTTTTTTTCTCTCTGTTTTCAGGATGGAAAGACACCAATGGAGAGTCTTCTCGCATGGCAGAATGGAGCTAAAAACATACTGTGTAACTTTAAGGAGGATGCAGCTTCTCCAACTCAATAGAGCGAGAGAGAGAGACAGAGAGTGAGAGAGAGAGAGAGAGAGAGAGAGAGAGAGAGAGAGAGAGAGAGAGAGAGAGAGAGAGAGAGAGAGAGCTATCAGCATTACCATTATGAATGCATGCAGAAGGCAATGGCCTTTTTATTAAATCTGTGAACTGCTTTGTGTTTGAGAAACGCTGAATGTTGACTGAACGCTGGACGATAATTGCTGGCAATTCGGCAACTGAAGCAGTGAGAATGTATTTGTAAATATTGTTTGAATGATGGAGAATTATCAGAATTCTGAGAGCAGCTGATGAAGAGTGAGTTTGGAGCTTCTTAGAATGTAATTTCTTTACTTTATTTTGCGCCAACTCACCGTCAGAGCATGACGCTGTTGTCGGAAAAAAACCTCATATCTCCGAAATGGTGACTTTACAGGAGAAGGAAAAAACCTACTTTACTTTTAATGTAAGTCAATGGAACCAGAGTTTTTTCCAAGTCATTTTGGGTCATTTCCTTTGGTCCATTCATCGTGAAATTTACACACAATGAAAAGGGCAGCAGGCATTTTCAAATGATGTCAAAAACTGAAAAATGACCAAAATGCAGATAAGAGGTTTTCTTCCAATAGCAGCGAAGAGTTATATGCAGTAGTGAAACAGGTGATGGACAGAATGTGTTGACTGGTCAGAGAATGTAGGCCTTTTGAGGAGAGATGGCCCTAAACCACTGTTTCCTTTCTGATACTGAAACCTTGAGTATCTTCTGATATTGATACCCATCTAATCATTTTCATCCTTAGCGAAGCACTTAACTCAAAACATCAGTCCTACTGGAAACAATATACAGCCAACAACATGGATTATGTTTTCTTTTATAAATTATTCTTATGTTAAGGGGGAATTCCTCTGATTCATGACTGTATAGTTCAGTCACTGAGATGTAAACAACGTCATTCAGAGTTTTTTAATATGAAGTGCTTCATTGTAGAGAAACTTACTGACTTAGATATTCTTTACAGTGGTGGTGATGGGAACCAGGAGTCTTGATGTCCACAACGCAAATATAGCCATTTTATTTACCATCCAAAACCACCAGTGAACCTACACCTGAGTTTTTATATGCAATGCTAATACTAGTAAAATAGAGGTAAATCCAAAAATACTAGTTTTTGTTTTTCCTTGGGGACTGTATTGTCTTACAATGCCCTGCATGCACTTCTACACCATAAATGATTTTTTATATATATATATTTTAGACCAAACTGACAAATTTCCACAAAACTATGGTAAAAAATTGGCATTCAGGCATGTCAAGACATATTTGTTGACGTCTGGTTCCTATCATCACCACTGTAAACAGTTCCGAGTCAGTAAGTTTCTCTAGAACAGAGCATTTCACATCAAACCACTCTGGTTTGATATAATGACTGTCCTCATATCTTAACCATTTAATTACAAGACATTTTGAGTTCCCCTTTAACATTAGGCTTCTGTTGTTGTCGCATTATCTACTTCTTTTTATGCTATAAACACTTTCAGGCTAGGTTTGTTACAAAACCCGATTGGGTTTGTTTTTTTTTTTTCCTTCTGATATCCGATCCAGCATCTTCCGTATATCTACTGAGTGCCATCTCTACTTTTGAGAGAAGTCAGATTTGCTTCGGAAAGTTTCTGGAACAATTTTATGCGCACATGGTTTGTTGACTGTACATTGCTTAATGTACAAAGATGTCTGTTTTTACTTTTCCTATTGAATTGCATTGATGTAACTATCACAACTTGCTTGATTCCATTTTGGTTACAGTAATTTATTGATTTTACTTTGATTTATATGTGAATAAACATGTTTTGCTCGTTTGCTTGGAAATGGCGATGCTTTTCTTGTTTGTGTCTTGGTCTTGTTCAGGTGTCTTATTAAATTCTGGTTCATAGCGCTTTGTCTAGGTGGGGGTCCCTCCACACTGAAGGTCACCCACCTGCTGAGCTCTGGCTCCAACCCTGATCTAACACACCTGCAGCTGATATTCAAGTTGATTAACGAGAATCGTGAGCCTGATTAGCTGGAACAGAAGTGTTAGATTGCTATGAACGCAGCAGGATCCTTCATTCCAGGTGCAAGACTGAGCGTCCCATTTTTAGACTGGGCACATGTGTGTGTGAGAGTTTCAGACTAGAAATAAAGCCAGAAATTGAAAAGAAGTTTGGTTAAAAATTGTATACTACACACTACGCACTTGTTTATAGCAGAAGTGCATCCAGTTCAACCAGAACTTTCTGGGTAAAATTTTACATATTCATTGCAAATATCACATTATAATATTTCAACATGTGGTGGTGTGTTAGTGTGTGTTGTGCTGGTCTGAGTGGATCAGACACAGCAGTGCTGCTGGAGTTTTTAAACACCTCAGTGTCACTGCTGGACTGAGAATAGTCCACCAACCAAAAATATCCAGCCAACAGCGTCCTGTGACCACTGATGAAAGACTAGAGGATGACCGACACAAACTGTGCAGCAGCAGATGAGCTATCGTCTCTGACTTTACATCTACAAGGTGGACTGACAAGGTAGGAGTGTCTAATAGAGTGGACAGTGAGTGGACACAGTGTTTAAAAACTCCAGCAGCACTGCTGTGTCTGATCCACTCAGACCAGCACAACACACACTAACACACCACCACCACGTCAGTGTTACTGCAGTGCTGAGAATGATCCACCACCCAAATAGTACCTGCTCTGTGAGGGTCCATGGGGGTCCTGACCTCTGAAGAACAGGGTAAAAGGGGGCTAACAAAGTATCAGAGAAACAGATGGACTACAGTCTGAAACTGTAGAACTACAAAGTGCACCTATACAGTAAGTGGAGCTGATAAAATGGACAATGAGCGTAGAAACAAGGTCATAATGTTATGCCTGATCGGTGTATGTGATACATTTGTAATACTATACAGTCCAAACAGAATTTCTCTGCACACACACACACACACACACACACACACACACACACACACACACACACACACACACAAAGAGAGCTGCACATATGCAGAGAGAGCCAGACAGCATAATATGACTAGTTATAATTAAATTATTAAAATGATCTATAACCTGAAAACCTGAAAATGTCCCTTACTAAAAGTGTGCTGCCATTTAACATCTTTCATGCCTGAGAATCCAAGGAAAAGAAGGTTCATCTGTTTGTGTTGCCGCTGGACACAGCTGAGACCACGTTTCTGAGGAAAACCATCTTGCGGTGGTGAAGAAGTACCTGTCTTTTGTTGGAAACCCCCAACTCTGTGATCACGACTCACTTCAGCATCGCTCTACATCTAGACTTTTCTTTTACTTTCACTCTCTCATACGTTGATGTACACAGCTCGTACTGCTGCTCAGCTCCGACACGGCCGCAAGAAAGCCCTCAGTTCTGTATTAAGGCTGTACAGGCATGAAGTGACACTAATGGCCTCTAGATTCACTTTACTTAGACATAGGCCTGGTAAGGTTTGGACGTCTGGTTCCTATCACCACTACTGTGAACAAGTGTAGGATTGTCTCAAATTCAGGGCTATAAATAAAAAACCACAAGTGGCTCAACTATAATACTATACTTATCATTAGTTCATTAGACATTAAAGTAAGGTTTACTTTACTCAGTTGAACTCAGTCTATTGAATTTATGTAAAATATGTTTAAAACAGGGGTTTAAGCTGCAAACGCTTTTGTAAGTGTTTTGTTGTTCTGTTAACTGATTATAAGTGGACTTTGAGTGGATTATTTTATGTAGCTTAAAAAAGCTTGCAGGGAACATTTCTTTCTTTCTTTCTCGTCTTTCTTTCTTTCTCTTTCTTTATTCTTTCTTTCTTGCTTTCTTTCTTTCTTTATTCTTTCTCTCTTGCTTTCTTTCTTTTTTTCTCTCTTGCTTTCTTTCTTGCTTGCCTTCTTTCTTTCTTGCTTTCTTTCTTTCTTTATTCTTTCTCACTTGCTTTCTTTCTTTTTTCTTTCTTGCTTTCTTTCGTTTTTACTTCTTTCCTTCTTGCTTTCTTTCTTTTTTCTTTCTTTCTTGCTTTCTTTCATTTTTCTTTCTTTCTTTCTTTCTTTCTTTCTTTCTTTCTTTCTTTTCTTTCTCTATTCTTTCTCTCTTGCTTTCTTTCTTTTTCTTTCTTCCTTTCTTTATTCTTTCTCTCTTGCTTTCTTTCTTTCTTGCTTGCTTGCTTTCTTTCATTTTTCTTTCTTTCTTTCTTGCTTTCTTTCGTTTTTACTTCTTTCTTTTTTGCTTTCTTTCTTTGTTCTTTCTTTCTTGCTTTCTTGCTTTCTTTCTTTCTTTTTTATTTCTTTCTTGCATGCAGATGTCTGCGCAAAATGTTGCGCCGTTGCTATGCCGACGAATGCGCAGGCGCGCTGGTCTTGGTCATACGCCTCTTTTCGCTGATTGGCCGAATTTGAATAGAAGACCGCGACAGTTTGCGGAGAGAAAACCGAGCCGGTTCGGAGTTTCCCGAGTTTTCAGCGCGCGGGTCGGTGTTATGACTGAAAGCCCTGTAAGTAGCTGAGTAACTCGTACATCAGTGACGCGTGCTTTGCTGTTGTCCTCTTGCTGCTTTGCTGGCCGACTAACGCTGTTTTAGGTGTGTTAAACCCGCCGATGTTCCCACTAAAACGAAGCCGAGGTTGGCTTCCAGCTCTCCGCTCCACCTTAACCGGGGCGGCCGAAGCCGAGCTTAGCCTCGACCTGCTAACGGAGCTAACCTGGCCGCTTCTGTCAGAGTGTGGCTCGCTAAGGCGCTAAATGTTTGATAAATACAGTGGAAGCGAAGGACTCAGGCTGTAAGACTGAATACTGATACGGTTAAACCGGATAAATTGTTTATTAACCGACAGTTTTCTTTGTTTTTTTAGCTGCAGCGTTACATAAACAGCGCTGTGTAGCTTTAATTTCAGGTGTGACGTTACTGCAACGTTAACCCTGCTTTCTGTCCGTATCGTCAACACACGACAGCTGAATTAAACTTCATTATTAGATATTTAATTGCAGGTTTAAATGTTATAGTCCTGTCTGATAAATTCCTTTATAAGCTCAATTTGAAATCCTCTTTTATTTGCTCCATTTGAGTCACTAACAGCTCCTTTGTGTACAATTTTAACCTTTTCAACTCCAGTTCCAAAACACACTTCATCATATTCTTCATAACTTTCATATTTCATAAGCTACATTCTAAAGGTGGGGGTCGTATGAGAGCTGTAACTGTCTTCTTTCCAGTCAAATAGATGGGTGATGTAATTTTAAACCCTTATAATAAAAGAAGCTGAATTTACAATTTTTTTCTACTGAAAATCGACCCATTTTTCCACAAATCTGGGCTATAAACTATAAACAGATGGCGTCTCTTCAGTGATCTGCTCTGTAAACATTATTTTTATAAAATAATACAAAGAGCATCTAAGATTTTTGGGTTTCAGCAGTAAATTGTAAGCATATAGCAATATGTGTATCATAAAACACGTGTTCTGTTAATTTGAGGGGAGCTTTTACAAAAAAGATAATTAAAATAAAAGTTTACATTTATTTCATGCAGTTACTGAATAATTTGCCTTACGATTTGGTCACGTAAATTCAGATGGACAAACCAAAATATACCCTGGTGAATATTAATGTTTTTTCCCGCTCCTGTGCTGATAGATGCTGTTTGTACTTGAAGAAGATCTGCTGAAAGTCTGTAAGGAACTCTGTACTTGATTTATGTTGGATTTGATATATTTTGATTTTCTCCTACTATTTTTATTTTTGGGAGCTGCTTTTGCTTGAGTCAGTATGTCAAATATACGCATTAGGATCTCGTTCCCACGCCTTACTAAGTCGCGGCCATGCATTAGGATCTCGTTCCCACGCCTTACTAAGTCGCGACCACGCATTAGGATCTCATTACCACACCTTACTAAGTCGCAGCCACGCATTAGGATCTCGTTCCCACGCCTTACTAAGTCGCAGCCACGCATTAGGATCTCGTTCCCACACCTTACTAAGTCGCGACCACACATTAGGATCTCGTTACCACGCCTTACTAAGTCGCAGCCACGCATTAGGATCTCGTTCCCACGCCTTACTAAGTCGCGACCACACATTAGGATCTCGTTCCCACGCCTTACTAAGTCGCAGCCACGCATTAGGATCTCGTTCCCACACCTTACTAAGTCGCAGCCACGCATTAGGATCTCGTTCCCACGCCTTACTAAGTCGCAGCCACGCATTAGGATCTCGTTCCCACACCTTACTAAGTCGCAGCCACGCATTAGGATCTCGTTCCCACGCCTTAGTAAGTCGTGGCGCGCATTGGGATTTTGTTCCCACGCCTTACTAAGTCGTGGTCACACATTAGGATCTCGTTCCCATGCCTTACTAAGTCACGGCCATGCATTAGGATCTTGTTCCCACACGTTAATAAGGCGTAGCTACGCGTTCTATTTATTTATATGGGACGTCACCGGCAGGGCTCTGTAGAAGTAACGATACGTTTACCGAAAGATTTTCGACTCCTCTTTGTTTTTGGTTTTATTTTAGCACCATGATGGAATCGTGCTTCAACGATAAGGTGGCCAGGACTGAATCGATCATTGTGGAGGACCTGAGGAGAGATCTAAACTCAGATCTGACAGAAATAGCAGATGCCCAGGTACCTGGACCTGTGCTCCATCATTTGGCTGTGTCTTATTAGTACAGCTTGTACTAAATTGACTAAATGTTTGTCATATTTAAAGATTGTGTATTTCTTTTCTTATAAATTGTTTTTTTGGTATTTCTTTGAAGGACTCTAGCGGCTCAGAGAGAGAGCTTCTGCAGGTGTACCTACGGATACGACCGTTCTCACAGGCTGAACTCGATAATGGAGAATCACAGGTAAATTAAAGGATGTGGAACAAGCTGTTTTGACTGAATGTTGCTGCACACTTAAGTGATTATTTAGCACCATGCAGAAATCAGAGACCACACTTCATGCATTTAATTTTCAGTAAAACAACCGTTGAGTACGAGTTATTCGTCAGGAAAAAAATATAAAATATATTTGACGTTCAGTTACCCAGAAGCCTCAACAACTAAACATAATAATAAACATAATGTCTTTTTATTATATCATTGTATTCAGGAGACTCACTTTCAGTTTTTAAAGAAATCTGCAGGGACATTTTTTTTCCCTCTTCCAAAGAGCTTCCAAAGTTTAGTCTTAGAAGTTTGCATTGTCTGTTTCTCAGCTCTGCCGTTGTTCTTGTTTTCCTCAGTAATGACTTCTTATCAGCTACACATCCTTTCAGACCCAAAGCGCTGAATTGTCTTCTGACAGTGGAAGGATCTGATTTTTTTTTTTCAGATCTGAACGAAGAGTGGAGCTTGATTTTTCTCCTCTCTCTCATAATGAAAGCTTTAAGTAATTATTCACTTATTTATTTTTTAAGTAGATCTGTTTTTTCCCCGTTTTGTATTCTAATATTTTATTATATTCTAATATAATATTTTGTTTGCTATCCGGTATCGACCAGAGGAGAGTGGGTTCCTCTTTTTGAGTCTTGGTTTCTCTCGAGGTTTCTTCCTCTTGCTATTAGGGAGTTTTCCTTGCCACTGTTACCACTGGCGACGCTCTTGGTGGCTTGGACCCGGATTTCTCTGTGAAGCTGCTTTGTGACAACACCTGTTGTAAAAAGCTCTAAATAGATGAACTTTGACTTGACTTGATCTGATGGGAACAGTTTTGGTGGTCTACCAGGTCTTGCACGGTTGTTAGGAGTTCCATTTTCTCTATTTTTTTAATACTCCTGTTTTTTTTATCACTTATTTTCTTGGGACTTTCCTTTTCATTATGCAAATGGATTATCTTGTATCTAATCTTAAAATATCTCCTGAAAAATGTAAAACTTTTGACTGAATTAGGTAAATGAAAGGTGGTCTTTGACTTTTGCACTGCACATTATGTTGTTGCTGTAGAGAACTAAGTAATGCAAAGTACACCTTTACATTTGTGTTAATTAATTTATCTTTTCTGTAGGACTGTGTCACCATCCAGCCTCCCGATACGGTGCTTCTTAAGGCACCAAGGACGTCTCTCTCTGCCAGGCTGAGCGATAAGTCGGTCCCCCAAACCGCACAGCGCTTTCAGTTCTCTCAGGTAAACGGAGGTGCAGTGGAAAAATCACATTTTTAAAGGGTTTTATGTTTAACAGTTTGTTTTTGATACGTACCTTTTCTATGTTTGAAAAAATGCTTTAATTTTTTAGGGATGTTTAAACAGCATTTTTGTTTGGTCTAATTAGGCTGTAATTTTGTGGTTTCTTTCATCGGAATGGTTTTGTGGTCCAGTTTTAACCTGTAATCTTTTAATGTTTAGGTTTTTGGGCCTGATACCTCACAGAAAGACATATTTGATGGCACGGTGAAAAGTCTCGTTAGAGATGTGCTGGAAGGAAGAAATTCATTGGTCTTCACTTATGGAGTCACAAATGCAGGAAAGACCTTCACTTTTTTAGGTTTGTGCATTTTACAGCATTTCGTTTTGTTTTTGATGGAGTTTTCTGTGGCTTTGCTGAATGATTTCTCCTTCTATATTTAATTTTATTTTGTTTGCTTGGTTTCGTTACTGAGAAATATTAGTTGGTCTTATCTAAAATTCAGCCACTGGAAGTTTTGAGGGAAAAAAAGGCTGAATATTTTGGCCAAAATAAGCAAAACGTTAAAGAATTCTGCGTTAATTGTCAGTCTAACACCTAGCAAATAATTTGAATAATACTGACAATAAGGTAAGTGACTGCAAACAAGCCTGGTCGGCACTGAGACGTTCAGACAGTTTGAGCAGCAGCTGATCAACAGTGAAACAGAGACAGTCCATTGCAGCTGCATTCAATATGCCAGAGGTCTTAAATTAAAATTCAGTGAAGTCCATTAAGAGGAAATGTCCTCAAGCGAAGGTCCGGAACATCATAATGTCTAACTTGCATCATGATTCAGTGCCATATACTGTTTACTGAAGTAGCCTAGTAGGTATGTCAACATCTTATACAGTCAACAACTGAATGTCAAATCAAATAAAGTCCAGTTCAGTAACATTTCAACAATATTTATCGTCAGTTTTCACTCTTTAGATCACGCCATGTGAAATAACTTCCCTCTGACTCACTTTCTTCTCTGACTGCTGTGTCTCGCCTCGTGTGTGCGTCACTCACTCGAGTCTCAGTGCTCATTGTAATGCACAGATCTGATTGGCTGAGTAGCGTCTTGTGTCATATTTACAACGCATGCGTTTGGTCTGTGAGTCTCCCGGGCCTCTAAAGCTGCACCGTAAAGGCTAGAAAAGTTACGCCGATGAAAATAGGACCACCCCGTTGAAATTAAATAATTCTCCATAGTTTATCGATTATAGGTCCAGATCTGCATAGGACAACGTCTGGGTCCGGACTCGGACTGCGGTCCGCATATTAGTGCTGTATGGTCTTCCGCTTACATGCTTTTTAGCCTTAACTGACTTAGTGCAGTTCTTTAATAGCAATCCCATAAATAATACTGAGGAACTCAACGTCTTTTGGAGAAACATTGCTTGTTCTGGTTTTGAAAGTTGTTACTGCAAACACATGCAGTCGTTAGATCCTGCTCTTAAGTGGAATGAAAACCAGTGTGATGTATTTAATTATTTAATTTAATTTGTTCATTATCATATTGTAAATAAGATTATACTTGGGAATGATGTCTCTCCAGGGCCAGAGACTGACATGGGCATCCTGCCACGCTCCCTGAACATGATCTTTAGCAATCTGGAGGGTCGAATCTTCACACAGATGAGCCTGAAGCCTCAGAGGTGCCAGGACGTCCTCAAGCTCACCAAGGAGCAGCAGGTCGAGGAGGCCATCAGCAAACGCAACCTCTTCAGACTCCTCAAGGAGGTGAGCCGGAAATCACGGTTTTCAAATTGCGGTGCTAAAGGACCACAGTATTTTAGCACAGGGTGATTCAAAAAGATTCATCTGAATTCAAAGCGGCGCCTAGGAACCAATCACAATCCAATTAAAAGAGGGAGTCGTAGAGTTTCTGACCGTCACTGGAAGATGGCTCCCTTCAGTCTGAGAGGAGATGAGACCCCTGAGCAGAAAGCGTTCTGCGTTCTCCACTTCAATAAGAGTGAATCCGTCATAACTGTGCAGTGTGATTTTCGTGGGCAGTGAAGCTCCAACAGCTCAGAGCGTTCGTCGCTGGTTCCACAACACTGGATGATCTCCGAAATCGCACTGAAAGAGCCGTGAGTGCAGCGACACCCGACACGCTCAATCCAGTATGGGATGAGTTTGACTATGGTGTTGATGTTGTCTGTACAGCTGGAGGAGGTTCATACTGAGACCTTGTAAAATTACATAATAAACTTTAAGCTCATTTAAACCATTTACAGTTTCACTGCATTGATCTGTGATGATTTACAAGTGAAATAAATCATTTTGAAATCAGATGAATTTTTTGAATCACCCTGTATTTCTTTTTTTTTTAACCTGCATTTAGTTCAATAGCTAATTGTTGAGATTTTGTGTGTAGTTCTAATGTCCTCTCTCTTCAGAATGATGCTCAGAAAAGTATGACTAGCCTGTTGACTTCCAAGACACTTGAAGGTGCAGAGGCATATTGTTTGTTAATAAATTTGTTTTCCTTTGTTTGTATTGGTTCCTCTTCTAACTGCATATATTTTGGGCTCAGAGTTGGCTGAATTGGATGGGTCATTGAGTGAGAGGAGCCTTAGCTTGGACATGGACCTCCACACCAAGTTCTCCGTGTGGGTGTCCTTCTGTGAGATCTACAATGAGAACATACACGATTTACTCGAGCAGCCGCCCAGCAATGCAACACGGAGGACCAACCTGCGTCTCTGCCAGGACATCAAAGGAAACTCCTTCATCAAAGGTAAACTAGTCTCCTGCATTTGGTGCCAGTTGTATTTAAATACATGTTATGTTTTTTTACAATATGGAAAAAAAAAATCTCCAAGTGGAATTTATTTTAAACAGGCCTGTCTAAAAGTATAGACTTGTTTTTTGACATTTACCGTTTGAGTAATTTGAACAGGTTTGCACTCAGAAGTGTACAAAGGCATTTTGAATTCATCCCATCAATGAAGAACAAGCTCACCAGCACCACTGTATGAAAAATGGCCCCAGACTTTGATGTTCCCACCTTACAGTATCCTTAATGCAATCTAGTTGCAATTCTTCTGCAGGCTTTTTTCACACAAAGACTCTACCATCAGTTTGATGCTGCGCTAAAAGTGCTTTTCTTTAAAAATATCATTTTGTTAAACTTTGTTGAACTTCAGTAAAGCTTACCAATGATTAAAATGTCCAAATACTTTTTGGGGCAACTCTGTATGTATGATGCTCCCAGAGCTGCACATTTCATAGACAGAACCAAGTCAGGCCCGTGTTGCTGTCCTATTCGGCCTGGAAAATTATTCACATTTTTGTGTTAATATTAGCCTGTTTCACTATGAGCTGCACTACAGTTCCCAGCATGCACTGCAGTGATCTATGGCAGAGGTCTTAAATTAAAATTCTGTAAGGTCCAGTCAAAGAAAATTTCCTCAAGCAAAGATCCGGAACATCATAACGTCTAACTTGCATCATGATTCAGTGCCATATACTGTTTACTAAAGTAGCCTAGTAGGTATATCAACATCTTATACAGTCAACAACTGAATGTCAAATCAAATAAAGTCCAGTTGTCATATTTCAACAACATTTATTGTCAGTTTTCTCTTTTTAGATCATGCCATGTGAAATAACTTCCCTCTGACTCACTTTCTTCTCTGACTGCTGTTTCTCGCCTCGTCCCTCCCGTGTGTGCATCACTCACTCGAGTCTTAGTGCTTATCATAATGCACAGATCTGATTGGCTGAGTAGCATCACGTGTGATATTTACAACGCATGCGATTGGTCTGTGAGTCTCCTGGGCCGCTAAACCGGTACCGTAAAGGCTAGAAAAGCTACGCGAATTAAAATATGACCACCCTGTCAAAATTAAATAATTCTCCATAGTTTATTGATTATAGGTCCAGGTCCACATAGGGCGGTGTCTGGGTCCGGACTCTGACTGCGGTCCGCCTATTAGTGACCTCTGATCTATGGGACAGTGCCCAAAATAAATAAATAAAGACATCAGGTGTCTAGTTGAAGCAAATGGGCAGTTTTAAAAAAAACATGCTGTACACTGGGGATATGTAAAGAGGTTTAACAGTGATCTGCAGCTAATGCTGTCTATTGTTTTATATAAAATAATGTTTTTATTTACAATAATTTAAATCGTTTAAGTATTGTGCCTATTTGTTGCCGTCATAGTTTTGGCGTATTTTGAATAAACAGTGGCCAGCTGGGCCATGGTAAAATATTAAGTAAAAATAAAAAAACACAGCTGGTCCATGGATTTGTTGAGATTTAAAAAAAAATAAATAAAAAGGAAGGAAAAAAATGTGCAGCTGCAGGAATCATAAGCAAAACCTGCACCATAAACTCACAAAATAGTAAAGAATAAGATCTTAAACATCAGTGTGAAATCGTAAAAAATTGTCCTTATTTTCCATCTCTGCTTAATGTTGGATTTTCATGAGTGTTGAAGGGAGCGTGTGTGTTTTGTGCGTTTCAGATCTGCGCTGGGTGCAGGTGAACAGTGCTGATGAGGCGTTTAAAGTGATGAAGCTGGGCAAAAAGAACCAGAGCATCTCCTCCACCAAGCTCAACCAGCTGTCCAGCAGGAGGTACGTATAGTGGTGTCTCTTCTCTTTGCTTTGTTATTTAAGACTAAATAATGTTGAACTGATATGATGGATCTGTTTCTCTGTCTCTTTCTCTCTCTTATTTAGCCACAGTATCTTTTCTGTGCGGATTCTGCGGATTGAAGATGTGGGCATACCCAGAGTGCACTCTGTCAGCGAGTGAGTTAACCCATTATCACTAAGCGCTGGGGGTCTAACAGTTCACAAAATTCATAATTCGGTTCTGTGCTTAGATGCATGTACACAAGGGCCTAACGATGCCCGTATGTTCAAGGCCCAATCCTATTCCTTATTTTTACCCCTACCCCTGTTTTCAAGTGTCTCCTTGCCCCTCAGAACTGAGTCACAACAGGTAGTGGTTGAAATCTTCCCTCTGAAATGGGACCCTCAAATAAAAAGAGCATTACTTCGTTAACAGCTACTAGCGCTGCTCTGTAGGCAACCCGGCCAGTCTGCAGTGACAGCAGAGGAGGGTAAAGTTCAGCTCCTCACTGCTGGGCTTTAGTTACATTTAGGGCATCATATGCCTTCAAAGAGGGGGGCAATTATTTATTATCACCCACCCCTAATTCTTCAGTGATATGAAGCTGAAGTCAGATATTCACCAGCTTCTTGTTCGAATTTTCCCTTTCCACCTTAAATGGTACAGCAGCTACATTCTGGCGCTTCAGGCGTTAGAACTGCTGGACTATTTAAGGTGGAACGGGAAAGTTAGCTAGCTAGCTACCAAGACGTTAGCAGAGAACAAGCGATTTTTCTTTTATTTATTTATTTATTTATTTAAATGCTTGTTATGAAGAAAAGGACCATAATGCACTGAAACAACATTAAACTAAGATAATACAGTGGTTATCGTAATTTTTTAACAGAGAAAATTCTCACATTTGTGGGTTTCTTTGGTCTCTTGTTCTCCATCTCGCCGGTTTTTCTTTTTTTTCTCATAACTCTCTTTTTGGAGTCTCTGAAAAACCTCCGTTTGGAGGGTCATGTAGCCCCAACACTTCACCCCACACCTCTATCTCAACAAATATTGGGACACCCTACCCCTAGACGTGAACATGCAAAATGGAGGGCTGAGGGCTAAGAGGTAGGGGCGAGGGGTGAAATGGGATTGGGCCCCAAGTATGATATGATTAGAGCAAAAATAAGGACTGCCTGAAAATCTTTTATATAAATGTTTTCATTTTAAGGGTATTGGAGCATTCAACATTGTAAAAGTGCACTCTTACAATAATCTGCAAGCTGCGAGCAAATATATTATCCCAAAAAACTGTGCATCCATTGTGTTTATATTTTGTTTTTCACCACCGCAAATATATTTATCTAACTTCTGTCATATAACAGTAATCTTGTTTGTGATATCACAGGACCTGCCGTCTCTTCACGATCCTAACACCTGCTTATTAACCAATAATCTATGCTCGATTGTTGTCTTTATAACTGCTTGTTTGTGTTTGGGAGGCAAGGATTAATGCGCTTTCCTGTTTTATTGTTTTAGGCTGTCCTTGTGTGATCTGGCAGGATCCGAGAGATGCGGCAAAACGCAGAATAAAGGAGAACGCCTAAAAGAGGCAGGAAACATCAACACGTCTCTACTCAGCCTGGGCAAATGCATTAATGCTCTGAAAGGCAGTCAGCAGGCCAGGTATTCACGCTTTCTAGCTTTCTTTCCTCATTTTTCAAATAAATATCACCTCTTGTATCTTTCTCTTACCATGAAACCCTAACTGCAGTATCCTGTCTCCCTCTGTCCCACCCCAGGCACCACGTTCCGTTCCGAGAGAGCAAGCTCACACACTACCTGCAGGGCTACTTCACTGGCCGAGGAAGGGCTGGCATGATTGTCAACATCAACCAGTGCGCCTCCATGTATGACGAGACCCTCAATGTGCTCAAGTTCTCTGCTGTGGCACAGAAGGTATGTTTGTGGGAGGGTCTTTTTATTTATTTTTTTAACCTCTTCAACTCCTTGAGATCACCGGTGGTTACAAAGCGCACTTCGTCATATTCTTCATAACTTTCGTATTTCATAAGCTACATTCTAAAGGTGGGGGTCATGTGAGAGCTGTAACTGTCTTCTTTCCAGTCAAGTAGATGGGTGATGTAATTTTAAACTCTTATAATAAAAGAAGCTGAATGCTCAATTTTTTTTCTACTGAAAGTCGACCCATTTTTCCACAAATCTGGGCTATAAACTATAAACAGATGGCGTCTCTTCAGTGATCTGCTCTGTAAAAATTATTTTTATAAAATAATACAAAGAGCGTCTCAGATTTTTGGCTTTCAGCAGTAAATTGTAAGCATATAGCAATATGTGTGATCATAAAACACATTTTCAGTTAATTTGAGGGGAACCTTTACAAAAAATAATAAATATTTACATTTATTTCATGCAGTTACTGAATAATTTGTCTTACGATTTGGTCATGTAGATTCAGATGAAAAAATCTAAATGTACACTGGAGAATAAGAGGTTAAACCTGCAAAACCCATCAGGTTACATAGTGCAAGAAAGTCCTCCCTTTCACTGAGGGCCAGGGGGCTAGTCTGAGTTGAATGTGTTGGTGATCAGCATTCGTGGAATGCGGCAAGACTTGATATGGGGGATCTGACTGAAACCTGACTGGTGTATTCGGATCACTTCACCTGACAAATTGTGTAATCCCCACCCCGACCCCCCCACCAAGCTCTCAGAATTTGTAAAGCAATCTCGTGCCGCAGTAGGGTTGCAATTGGTCAACAGCGGTGATTAGTTGTTCAGGTTGATTTTAGGGAAAATGTCATTTTTCTTATGAGCAAAAATCTATATTAATTTACTTATAAACAGAACTGTTCTGTATGGTCTGTAATATAATGAGTTGTACATACTGACAGTATTCATTACACGTTGGGGGCAGTATGGCTTTGGCTGTTTTGTTGCACCATAGAGAAATCACTGTTGCAGAGATGAAACTTTAAGATGCACTTTGGCCAAAGTGGAAAACATAACCAGCGCTACATCTGTACACATTCTTACTCACATCCTACAGCAGAGCCGCAGTAGTCTTGAGCGAGAATTTCCGGTTTAAACGCTAGGAAAACCCCCTTCTGATAATGCGTGTTAAGGGTGAGAGGAACTTTGAAGAACAAAAACATAGGTTTGGGTTTTTGAAGCAGGCTGTTTTGAGGAAAATGTATTTTATAATTATTATTATTTCTTTTGTTGTTGGTTGTTGAATGCTCAGTTAACTAACACACTTACTAGGAGGCCAAATATCTTTTGAAACCTGTAACTGTAAATCACTACAAAAGGAGAGAACAGATTACTCGAACTACAGAAATGACTCCTCAGATGAGCAGGATGAGTAAAAAGGTAGCTGCCTAGCTAGTTATATTCCTCACCTTATTTTGGCTTCTTTTGTTTGCCTAAAAGGGTAAAAAAAAAACAAAAACAACTGAGGTAATAGTTGCACTACTAATTGTACTTACAAGCCTATAGATCAGTGGCTAGCAGTCAGGATGTATTTGCATGTATTTGCATAAATCATATTGTAGAGAGAGAACATTGATTAAATAATAAACACAAAAATGATATACAGTCTTGAATTATGTCAGACATAGGCATGATATAATGCTACAGAATACTGCATAATGTCACAAATAGGCTGGAATGCAGCCCTATGATTTGAAATCAGTCTCTTTCCAAATGCTCATTTTTTTTTCTATTTATCCTCTCCTTCCTTTCCTAGGTGGTGGTCCTTACCACTGCCACCGTCCTCCCATTGGTGGTGAAGAGGAGTGCACGGGAGGTGTCCTTCATCATCAATAAGGCAGCACAGCGGGGGTCGCGGCGTACTTCTCTACTGCGCTGGGAGCGCAGTCTGGAGGACGTCAAGGAGGACGCAGACTCCGAGGAGGACGAGGAGGAGGAAGAGGAGAGCATCATGGAGGACACCCTGCAAGACTCTGATGATGAGGGGAAAGAGACAGTGCTACTGGATAAAGAGTCGTATGAGGTGAGCTTTAGATCCTAATTTTAATCATTTTTATTTTAGTTCTAGGAGATGAGTCTTGATCTGTTAAAGCAAGATGTTGATGTTGTGGGTCAACAGATTTGCTGTTTACATTTTTTTTTCTTGTATATTTACATGCTTTTATTCTGTTCATGTCAGAATCAGCTGATGTTGCTGGAGGATCTTCAGGAACAGCTGAGGACGTGGAAAGCAGAAAACGCGGCTCTGGAGTCTCGTGTACGTGAGGAAGTCACGAAAGAGTTCTCGGAGCTGTTTACCCAAATGCAGACAGATTACAAGTAAGAGTTCCATATAAAGCGGTGTTTAGAATGAGCAATTGATATGTTTACATATGTGATTTGATGTCCGTCTTTTCTTTTGTACTTTTGTTTATCTCTTATGCCTTTATTCTTCTGTCCTATGGGGATATTCTCTATTGTTCTTGCTCTCTAGTGATCGCATTTCCAAAGAGAGGGAGCTTGTCGAGGAGAGGTGTGAGCGACGGTTGGAAATTTTCAAAAGTTTGGTGGGAAAATCTGCTCAAGACACTAATTGTGATGGTGGTGAAGAGGCCAAAAAGCAGGTAATATTCCAAGAAACTCGTAAAAGTTTGGAATTGTCACTATGTTTTAACTGTTTTGTTTAGTAAGGCCCGAAATAAAGAGAGAGGACGTGAACGTAAATAACAACAACGTTCGGCCAACGCACCGCAAACGTTCGGTCCTTTTGTACAAACTCTCAGCGCGTTTTGTACAAACTCTCAGCGCGTTTTGTACAAACTCTCAGCGCGTTTTGTACAAACTCTCAGCGCGTTCTCACGGTTAAAACACTCAGTACTGAAGGGGGTGATAGAGGACAAATCAGAGAGGGATCTACTGTTATTCCCACAGCCTCAACAGCTAAACGTGGGCAGTAGAGGAGAGTGAGCTGCTTTACCTCTTCACTTGGATTGGAAATGAGATAATTAAGCATATTTTTATGCCGTCTTTGCGCGAGACTCAACTGCTCGTCTGCTGTGGCAGTTGACAAAACACGCTGGTGGTACGAGAACGCTTGGTCAGGCTTGGCTGTTGTTTTAGCGCCCCCTGCTTGTGTTGCGTTATGGAATGCGTTGACACATTTTTGAACGCAACTACACGTGAAACCCCGTCTGTGTAGCTCAAGGGGTCTACGTTCGCGTCTTTGCGTGAAGTGTGTGTGTGTGTGTGTGTGTGTGTGTGTGTGTGTGTTTTTGTTTTATTTTTTGGTTATTTTCTTCTTTGTCTTTATCTTCCTCTTCTTTGGTGGCGTCCAGAACTACCTACTATCATACAAAATAGTATGTTGAAAATACGCCACCTTAAGAACAGGGTTCGTTAGTATAGTCTGTGTAGGGTTGTAGTTGTGGTTTTGGACGGAGTGCTTGTCTCCTTCTTCTCCATCTTCTCTGTATGTTCTAGAGGTATTTCACACCTGCCTGTCTGTTTCTTACAGGAGAGCGAGCCTCCATCTCTGGATGGGATGCTTGATTCCATGTGCTGCGACCTAGCAGGGATCAGGCAGGATGCTGAGGCGGCTCAGTCCTGTCTGGTGACCTCTGACTCTCAGCTCTCTGCAGCCCAAAGCATTCTGGAGAAAAAGGTCATAAAACTGACAGAGCAGCTCAGTGAAACGCAGAAACAGCTGATGCTCAAATCTCAAGGTGAAAATTGGGGCTTTTAATACGTTCTGTGATTGGTGAGGACAAACAATAGAGGTTTTTACTGAAGCACTGTGTTTTAATTTACCTCTAAAAAGCCACTTTTGGAGTAAAGCAGCAGTGCTTGTGTTTGTTGCACATTAGCTACACTTTGTTTCAACTCAAAGGGGAAATCCACCCAGTTTTCAAATTCTTTTCCCGCCACAGTTCAATCATTAAGATGTAAACAAAGTAATTTAGAGTGGTTTGATGTGAAATGGTTTGTTGTAGAGAAGCTTACTCAGATCTCTTTTCACTGGTGTTGATGGGACCCAGGGATGATGATAATTATTATTATTATTATTATTAATATTATTATTATTATTATTATTATTATTATTATTAGGAAGCTTTCAGACGCCTGGTTTCTTATCACTATCACTGTGAATAATTCTGATCCCAAGTGTCTCTGACCCTTCACGTCAAACCACTCTGAATGACTGACTGTTTACATCTTGGCTGTTTAGTTAAGCAGACATTTTGAGAAACTGGTGGAATTCTGCTTTAACATCAATGAAGAGAAACAGTTCAAAATGTAATACTTTATTTGTTCTTTCACAGAATTGGACGCTCAGAGCAACTTGTCAAAGGAGTTGGAGGAAATGAAAAAGGTAGACTGCAGGAAGAATTTCTACAGCATCAAAGTGTGTTACTGTGGGCCAGCTTTGCTTACATGTATTCTTGAAGGCTTAGAAATTCCAGACTCCTAACATTTATTCTGTACTTGTAAGGCCATATATCTGTTATGTAAATGAATGAGAGAATTTGGCTTTAGAATTAGGTTTATGATTATAGTTATGAGGTAGGTTAGGCTTCGTGTGAAGCTAAGTAAGTTAGACCAGTGGTTTTAAGCTCCAGACCCAGCTGATCCAGGCAGAGAATACCGAAGGCTTTGCATGCCAGGAGGCCTGAGGACTGGAGTTGAAAACCACAGAGGTCTAATCGGCCGTTACATTATAATTGGCAGTAAAAAAAAGTTTTGTTTTTTTTTGTGGGACTGCATGGCTGCTGTTGAAGACCCTGGAGAGTCGTGAGCAAAGGTTAACCGATCTGATGGTAATGTGCGTGGAGAAGGATGACCTGAATGCCAAGATCCAAGCAGAACTGGACCAGGCTGTAGAGGACGCTGGCAAAAATGTGAGTGTATGTCCTCATGTGAAACACCAAAGCTCAATTCCAAAAAAAGTTGGGGCAGAATGTGAAATGCAAGCAAAAACAGAAAGCAGGGATTAGTATATCCACTTCAACCTGTATTTAAATGTAAGCAGGTTTAAATGTAAAAAGTTTTTTTTAATGTTTTGCCATATCAGCTATTTATTTATGTTAAATATGTATAATCCAACATTATAAGAGCAACACTCCTTTACAAGTGAATTGCATGGATTTTAAGAGTTTCATCCTAAGGAGTCTGGAGAAATCTGTGCGTAAAGGGCGAGGCTAAAAAACACAACTGCCATGCTTCTGTGATGGAGGGGTTTAGAGATGTTTTGACGCACCGTTGGCAAACACTGTTCTTAGCTGCATCCATAAATGCAAGTTAAGAATGTGCTGTGCACAGAGGAAACTATACATCAACAGCGTCCAACGCTGCTGAATTCTCTGGGCTCAAGCTGAAATAGAGTGATGCATATTGTTTTTGGAGATAATGGACATCATGTTCTCGGGCCAACAGAAAGGACCATCCACATTGTTTACAGAGTAAAGTTCAAAAGTCAGGGTTTGTTATAGCATTGGGGTATATTAGTGCCAATAGCATGGGCTCATCTCTGAAGGCACCATTAACACAAAGGCTATGTTCACATTACAAGCCTCATTGCTCAAATCCGATCTCTCTGACACGATGGTTCACACTCGTTTAGGTAAGAGATTCAAATCTGTCAATGTGAACGAACCGGCGTCCTGAAATGAATCAACACAAACTAACGAGCAGAACGAGCTTCGCTGAGAAGATAATTAACTCTGATCAGCTCTCAGCTTCATTATTAGAGCGAGACGAAGGAGAAAAAGGTGAGATGAGCTGCTTTTCCACCGTTTACAGGCTTTAACTTCTGTTCGGCGCTGCCGCCATGGTAACGCTGAATGATGGCGCACGCGCAGTGGGAAAAAAGCATATGAATTCCGATCTGAGTGTCACATTAAGGTCGCGCGGCCACGAATCGGATACGTATCCGATCTACGACCACATATGAAAGTGATCTTTTCAAATCCGAGTCAGATTTGTGTCCACACAGCCCTGAAAACATCAGATCTGAGTCACATTAGGGTAAAAAAACATCGTGTGTGCCACCTCATTCTTGTAATATGAATGTAGTCAAAAACAGCATTTAGACAGCTTCTTTTTCGGAGATGTCCAGGCATCGCCAAGCTAAGCACATGTTACAACAGCATGGCTGCATGATCAGAGAGCGCGGGTCCAGACTGGTCTCCTATTGAAAACATGTCACACGTTTATGAAGTGCAAAATACAGAGGAATGGTTGTGCAGCTGAAGACTCGTACAGTGGAATAATGGCAAATTCTGCTTTCAAAACTGGATCAGTTGTTCAGTACCTAAATCGCTTCTCTGCCTTTTGGCTAAGATCAAGCGTAGCATCTGTTCTTATCAGTTTAATATCTGATAGAGGAGCTTTCTCCGTCCGCTCGTGGGCTGGAGGTTAAGGAACCAGTCTTGTGACTGGAAGGTCGCTGGTTCGATCCCCTGAGCCGACTGTGACTGAAGTGCCCTTGAGCAAGGCACCTAACCCCCAACCGCTCCTCGGGTGCTGCGGATAGGGCCGCCCACATTTCCGGGCAAGTGCGCTCACTGCCCGCTGTGTGTCTTCACTAGTGTGTATGTGGTGTTTCACTGCAATGGATGGGTTAAAATGCGGAGGTGAAATTTCCCCGTGGTGGGACTAACGAGAGTCTCTTAACCTCTTCAACTCCTTGAGACCACCGGTGGTTCTAAAACACACTTCATCATATTCTTCATAACTTTCATATTTCATAAGCTACATTCAAAAGGTGGGGGTCGTATGAGAGCTGTAACTGTCTTCTCTCCAGTCAAATAGATGGGTGATGTAATTTTAAACCCTTATAATAAAAGAAGCTGTATTTACAATTTTTTTTCTACTGAAAGTCGACCCATTTTTCCACAAATCTGGGCTATAAACTATAAACAGATGGCGTCTCTTCAGTGATCTGCTCTGTAAACATTACTTTTATAAAATAATACACAGAGCGTCTAAGATTTTTGGCTCTCAGCAGTAAATTGTAAGCATATAGCAATATGTGTATCATAAAACACATGTTCTGTTAATTTGAGGGGAGCTTTTAAAAATAAATAAAATTAAAAAATTACATTTATTTCATGCAGTTACTGAATAATTTGCCTTACGATTTGGTCATGTAAATTCAGATGGACAAACCAAAATATACCCTGGAGAATAAGAGGTTAATCTTAATCTTAAATGTGAAAGGAAAAGATGATCTAACACAGCTCCAAAAGTCATAAAGTAAAACAATATTGTGTTTTTGTACAGGTTTTCTTTTAATTTTAATACAAGTGAGACAGAATTAACTATTCGCTGCGTTTTGTTTTTATTAGCATTTCACATACGGTCCAAACGTTTTTGAAGTTGAGGTTTGTTAAAATGAGATGTGCATGACTTTGATAAATTTGCCGAGCTTATAGTGTTACAGGGAGTGATCTCTCTGAATTACGGTTGAGCTTGTGCAGTTCACTACTACTCTGGAACTACCTGAGTGTTTTGGATTGTGGATACGTGTAGTGCTGTACTCTACAGCTTCGCATAAACTGTGTTCATTACTAATTCACAGCATGCTACAATCAAGGAACTTCTGCAGCTTAAGCGTAACTGCACATGCTCAGAAAGCAGAACGAAGATGGAAACGCGGAAGCGGCGACAAGAAGAGGGGTTGCAGGAGCTTCACGGACAGCCCCCTCTAAAGAAAGGTACTACCTCCGCCTCTCGTGCTGAAACAGGCCTACCAGCTTCTGTCTCAACCAGAGGGGCAGGGAAAGAGAATCGTCTCAAAGGGCGGCGATACCTGCGCAGCAGAAAAAGGCTGTCTTCAGTAAAGAAGTAGCTCAGCTCTATACTGTTTTACAAGGCCCAGGAAAAGCCAAGTGTTCACGCTATTTTAAACTGTCTTTCTGATGTAAGTGAATGTGAATAAAGAATTATTTATTTATATGTTCATGGGGAACATTTCACAAATACCAAAGCGCTTTGATTCACATGGGCTACATCAGGTGTTCCCAGACTCCTTCAGTCTGAGGAGCTTGTCACTCATGCTGTCTCTTACAAGAAAAACACCAAAGGTTGAGTTGTCTTCTATGCTTTGTGAGACTTTTCACCTCAGGTAACGAATGACTCTGATTCTAATCGGAGTCATGAGAAATATGAACTAGGTTCATGCACTTTTTCAGTCCAGTGAAATAGACAAGTTTAAACATATTAATTCCATTTAATTACATTTAATCACTGATATCTTATTTGCAATGTGTCCATAGATTTCTGTATAAATCTGCTTCATTTCAAATTAAGGTTAATACGTTTCCTGGATGTGAACATTTTTCTTGCAGACTGCTTTGAAATAGGCCTTCCAAGGTAGGGTTCTAGGCCAAGGTTGTCCAAAGTTGGCCCATGAGGACATTTTGGTATCATGCCTAGGTGGTTTTATATATATATCATTTATGTATGCATATAATCGCTGTCAGGACTAAACCTCTGTGTTTCGTTTATATATTTTTTTTTGAAAGCTCCAGCAGACGTTGTATTAATATTTCATGATCAACAGTCCTAAATTACTTCTAAAAAATATCTAATTAAATTGACTTCTATTAAAAATTACCATTTTGGAGATAAAGTTTTGTTTTTTTTATCATCTCCATTTTGGAGATAAAGTTTCTGACAGTGACAATTTACAGCTCTTTAATTTCTGTTTTTACCTTTAAAATTATATTTAAGTATTTTAGTAATGAAGTGGAGTGTAATGTTATAAAATACATTTTCAAAAACTTGATTTGAAACCCACCTGCCTTCTTTATTTGTGTTTTGTTGTGTTTTGCTTTTGGCCTTCAGCCCACCACCACAAAAATTCCACTTTGGCTCCCCAAGAGAAAACATTTGGGCACCACTGCTACCAGCATTTTCACCAATACACCAATACGTTTCTGTGGATTTGTTGTATGACATGCTTAACAGGCACAATGCAAAGTCACATCATGACATAAATCCAGATAAAATGAAATGGAAGACTCATAATGAAAGACTAAATAGGAAAATGCTGAGTTATGTTTTAGATGAATGATGTTCATGTAGTTCATATCAGTTCATTGTGAAACGATGCATATTGCTACTGATGAAGGCCAACAACAGGGGTCATCAGTTCAAGTCCTGCAGGAATGAACCACAGTTTGGTGGTGCTAAAAAATGGTAATTAATTGATTGAATCAGGTGTGTTTGAGCAGGGAAATCACAAAACTGTGACTGGAATGGACCTGATGACCCCTGACCTGTAGTTTAGAATGACTTGAATTAAATATATTAAATTATATATAATGAAATTTGTGTTGTTTTGGGAATAACTCATTTGAATCTCCATCTGTAGGGTCCCTGGATGACTCTTCTCTCCCTGAAGACCTCAGTAATGACTCTTTGTCTGAGGTCAGAGGTCAGCTTAAGTGTTGCCAGCTGGAGTCCCGTCAGAAAGATGAGCAGATCGCTGATCTGGAGCGGGAACGCCAAACTCTGGAATTTTGTATCCGGGAACTAAAATCCCAACTAGAAGAAGAGAAGCAATCCCGTAGTGACACTCTACAAGAGAGAGAGCGCCTGGCTGCTGAGCTTAGTGCCCTTCAGAAGACCATGGAGGAACAGCAGCAGAAGCTTCTCGCCATGGAGAACCAACTTAGTGCTGCAGAGACAAACTGTAGCAACTTAAAGGCCTCTTTGGAGACCAACTGTGGAGCCAGAACAGCAGGTTCAGTTGGGGAAGAGGAGCTGAATGCCGTCAAATGCCGACTGGAAGAGCAGGACCATGAAATCAAGCAGAAGATCGCCCTTATTGGGAGCCTAGAGCAAGAATTGGCCCAGCTGAAAGAGGAAACGGAAAGGTTCAGGGACTTTTCCTCGTGTCAGGAATGCTCCAAGTTACGGCAGGAGAGCGACAGCAAAGAAGAGGCAGTAAAAGCTCTGGAGCAACAGCTGGCCGAGCACAAAGCTTCTCATGACGATCTCCAAAGAGTGAACTTGGACCTCCAGGCTGAGGTTGCATCCATGAATGACCTTGTCACAGAACTGAAGGGTCAGGTCAGGACTGGCCAGGTGCAACAAGAAAAGGAGGAGGATGAGAAAGCAAGAGAGATGGCGGAGAAAGAAACTGCGCTTCTAGCTAAAGAGGGAGCGCTGAAACAGAAAGAGGCAGAGCTTTCTCAGAGGGAGGCGGAGCTGATTGGCAAAGAACAGCTAAAGGAACCTGAATCCAACACAGAGAAGACTGACACCAGGCTGGCCAGTAAGGAGGCGGAACTGGCCGGGAGAAGGAGGCGCAGCTCTCTGCCCTGCAAAAGAGCCTGAAGGAAGCGCAGGAACGGCTGGAGGAGGAGGAGACACAGGCTGTACAGGAGGCACGCAGGAGGGAGGCGGAGAGGAGACGGGAGCTGCTAGCTGTTGCTGAAGAGGCTATTGCTCAGAAAGACGCAGAACTCCTGAAGCGGCAGGAGGAGATCAACAGGTGAGTCATACCTGAGGTTAAACATGTTGTTATGCAGGGTTCTGTCGTAAGCTTTTTCCCAAGGAGCAACAGAACAATGGTTTCCAATCATTTCTTATTGATTATGTTCTTGCAATTTCTTCAAATTCAGTTGTGTTTTGTTTTTTGTTTTTTAATCCAATTTATACAGAGTATATCTTTGTACCAGCAGTTCTTATATATTTGTTCACATTTACTGAATTAGCAAATAAACTCTGATCAGGCATAACATTATGACCGCCTCCTTGTTTCTACGCTCAGTGCTGCTGGAGTTTTTAAACACTGTGTCCACTCACTGTCCACTCTATTAGACACTCCTACCTTGTCAGTCCACCTTGTAGATGTAAAGTCAGAGACGATAGCTCATCTGCTGCTGCACAGTTTGTGCTGGTCATCCTCTAGTCCTTCATCAGCGGTCACAGGACACTGTTGGCTGGATATTTTTGGTTGGTGGACTATTCTCAGTCCAGCAGTGACACTGAGGTGTCACACTAACACACCACCACCACGTCAGTGTTACTGCAGTGCTGAGAATGATCCACCACCCAAATAGTACCTGCTCTGTGAGGGTCCATGGGGGTCCTGACCACTGAAGAACAGGGTAAAAGGGGGCTAACAAAGTATCAGAGAAACAGATGGACTACAGTCTGTTATGGTTGCTGTAGTGGTGGTTGGTATAGTGTAGTGGGTAACACCTCTGCCGTCTATGCTGTAGACTGGGGTTCAGTCCGTGCCTTGGTAAACACCCTATACTATACCAGTAAGAGTCCTTGGGCAAGATTCCTGACACTACCTTCACCTACCTGTGTAATATGTGTACCTGTGTCGCTCTGGATAAGAGCGTCTGCCAAATGCTGTAAACGAATAAACGGTTGATAACGCTGGGCAGTGCACTGCAAATATGCAACACGGTACTGGCTGAATCTGTGATGACCTGAGATTTACATTCGCTGGCATGAGACCACAGCAAAGGCAAAAGAGGTCAGTCTTAATGTAAACCAGCAGTTCTTAGCAAAACCGTGAGACTTGACATCTGTGCAGGTTAGTTGATGAGCAGGTTAGTTCAGCTTCCTGTAATGTGTGCAGTAAGCTCCTCATGCCCTGTAAATACAGTAGCACTGGGACCAGTGGAACTCATCATTTAAAAAAATCTACACATTTTTATACATTGATGAAGAATAATCCTGAAACTGAGGGAACCGACAGAATTATGTTGCCCATTAACTTTAAAACGTGTTTGTTTTTCCTGATGTAGCATTTGTGATACATTCTGTTTTCCTAATTCTCACTCACTTTCTCTCTCTCTTTGTCCCAAGGTTGAAGGAGGAGATGAAGAGCAATTGCGAAAAAGTGAAAAGTCTGTCTGTGGACTTGCAGAGAAGAGAAGACGACACTGCCGATCTGAGAGAGAAGCTCGTGGACTCGAAGAAACAGATCCAGCAGGTGCAGAAGGAGGTGGGTCGAAATGCTCTGGACTGCACTTCTGTTTCCTAAACGTCCTCTTGATTAGGAAAACAGGGAGGTTTTTCATAAAGCAGGTTAGCCAAAAGTCAAACCTGTCCAGTAGAAACAGTGGCTAAGGATGTTAGGTTACAGTAGGCTATGGTTTACAAAATTTGCATTTACACCTCTGACTGTGGTGATCACTGATCCTTCCTCCTGTGCAGATTTCTTCCATGCGTGATGCAGAGAAAACTCTGAAGCAGAAATCGAGCGATCTGGAGAAGGCTAAAACCCAGCTGCAGAACGAGCTCTCGAATCGTGACCGCACCATTCAGCAGCTAAAAAATGTAAGTTTTTATCCAAATGCTTTTCATCATTTTTGTATATGCATTTGAATATGAAATACAAAATGGTACCACTTTTTACTTTGAGATATACTTTGAAATATTAGATGACATACCACCTCCTTGTTTCTACGCTCATTGTCCATTTTATCAGCTCCACTTACTATATGGGTGCACTTTGTAGTTCTACAGTTACAGACTGTAGTCCATCTGTTTCTCTGATACTTTGTTAGCCCCCTTTTACCCTGTTCTTCAGTGGTCAGGACCCCCATGGACCCTCACAGAGCAGGTACTATTTGGGTGGTGGATCATTCTCAGCACTGCAGTAACACTGACGTGGTGGTGGTGGTGTTAGTGTGTGTTGTGCTGGTCTGAGTGGATCAGACACAGCAGTGCTGCTGGAGTTTTTAAACACCTCAGTGCCACTGCTGGACTGAGAATAGTCCAGCAACCAAAAATATCCAGCCAACAGCGTCCTGTGTGCAGCGTCCTGTGACCACTGATGAAGAACTAGAGGATGACCAACACAAACTGTGCAGCAGCAGATGAGCTATCGTCTCTGACTTTACATCTACAAGGTGGACTGACAAGGCAGGAGTGTCTAATAGAGTGGACAGTGAGTGGACACAGTGTTTAAAAACTTCAGCAGCACTGCTGTGTCTGATCCACTCGTACCAGCGCAACTCACACTAACACACCACCACCACGTCAGTGTTGCTGAGAATGATCCACCACTCAAATAGCACCTGCTTTGTGAGGGTCCATGGGGGTCCTGACCACTGAAGAACAGGGTAAAATGGACTACAGTCTGTAACTGTAGAACTACAAAGTGCACCTATATAGTAAGTGGAGCTGATAAAATGGACAATGAGCGTAGAAACAAGGAGGTGGTCATCATGTCATGCCTGATCGGTGTATATTATATAATAACCTTAGGAAATGTTAGTATGTGCCCTGTGGTCTTTGATTGTTTCTCTTAATACTTTCCAACAGCGTTCGTCTGATTCCAAGACAGAAGAATACGTCCAGCGCTATGAGAAAACCCTTAAAGGTGCAGTACATCAACCTGACCGTGTTTAGATGGGAGATATAGACCTGTACTCACGAGAGCTGCATGATATGAATGGAATTCCATGTTGTAATTAGGATGTATCTTAAGGTGAAACAAAAGATTATGAATGTTATGTAATTAATGATTGGCTTTTGGCACTGCACACAGCGAGATATTCAGTTAATTAAAGGCTCTTTTGCATTTTGCAGCGTTTAGTGATGTCAGTCCCACAAAAAGGCCAATATCACAATAGCAATTAGCAAACAATATATCATCCAGTGCTATGGCAGACGTGTTTATGCATTCAGAAATACTAACTGTATGCTTATTCATACATTCTCTGTTTGTTTGATTGTTGGTGTGCAGACTTGCAGGCACGGGAGCGTGTTATAGAGGACATGCGTTTGGCTCTGACGGAGCAGGAGGAGACGCAGACTCAGCTGGACCTGGAGCTGGACAATAGAGAGGCTCAGATCCATGATCTCACCCAGGGTAATACAGCAAATGTAACAGCCCCATTCTGATAATTAATGTTAAACGCTTCAGATGTCTGGTTCCTATCACCACCACTGTAAACAGTTCTGACTCCGTGTACGTCATACTGTCCGTTAAACCACATTGACAGCCTTAAGGAAGACTCAGATGTGACTTGAGTTGGTTGAGAGATGTTTTGGGCATGTATTTTTACAGAAACGGTTTGGGATAATTTGTTAGCGATGATAGCCTTTTAGCTAGGGCTGGGCGATAAAGCCATAACGATAATTATTGTGATGTAACTTTCCTTGATAGAAATATAAGAAATGTTTGATAATTGTTCAACATAATAGACCAGAGGTCACTAATAGGCGGACCACGGTCTGAGTCCAGACCCAGACGCTGTCCTATGCGGACCTGGACCTGTAACCGATAAACTATTTTAACGAGCGTAACCTTTCTAGTCATTATGGTACCGGTTTAGCGGCCCGGGAGACTCACAGACCAATCGCATGCGTTGTAAATATCACACGTGACGCTACTCAGCCAATCAGATCTGTGCATTTCACTGAGCACTGAGACTCGAGTGAGTGATGCACACACAGGAGGGACGAGGCGAGAAACAGCAGTCGGAGGAGAAAGTGAGTCAGAGGGAAGTTATTTCACGTCGTGCTCTAAAAAGAGAAAACTGACAATAAATATTGTTGAAATATGACTGAACTGTACTTTATTTGATTTGACATTCAGTTGTTGACTGTATAAGATGTTGATATACCTACTAGGCTACTTCAGTAAACAGTATATGACACTGAATCATGATGCAAGTTAGACATTATGATGTTCTGGACCTTTGCTTGAGGAAATTTTCTTTAACTGGATCTTATTGAATTGTAATTAAATATCCCTGTAATAGACCATTCTCACACTTACACGTTCTAGCGACAGCCCTGGTGGTGTTTTCTACTGCAAGGATAGCGACACTACTGTGCTATCGCCACAAGTAGGCGCACTTCCGAGTTTTTTAACATGATTAGAGAGGGGGGCAAGGAGTGAAATGATTTGCCACATATAGTTTAGCAACAACGTCAAGCTGTTTTCAGCAGCTGGCTAACTTGACGCAGCGCTCCGTCACTCACACAGCACGGCCGAATTGATGTTACTGCAGGTCAAACAAGACAAAAAGCACCGATTTCAGTTTAAATGTACCTAAAAGGAGGACTCAGTTTGTCTGGTGAGATTCTTCCACCCCTCAAACTGCTATGATATAATAGAGAATCCAGTCGTCTGCTAGCCGGTGTCTGAATACTGTGATCTGCTCTGACATGGATGCAGTAGGAGTGACGGCAGTAAGGCGGTGTGATCCATCACTAACCTACCGAGCCAGATAATGTTTGCTGTTCGTATTAAGCTAACATGGTTGAGATTCTAAACAGTTTAGTACTTGTAACGAGGTAGCCTAGCACTCGTCACCACACAGCTAAAATAATCTGTTATCTTTCTTAAATTATGACTATTACAAAAATTGCTTTTCCAGCTGGTAAAAACAGCTAACCAGGAATTTTCTCCCTGAGAAAGTTTCTGGTTAGAGACAGTTTTGTGAAATGTTGCACTGTTTGGTGAGTGTTTGTCCTGTTCTGACCATAAAGGATAATTTAAAACAGCAGTTAACCTCGCAGGAGCAAAAATCAGCCTTTAAACCGAAAAGAAATAATTGACATCGCAATATGTATCGATATCGACTGATATTACATTTTTTATCGTGATAACATCTTTGGCCATATCGCCCAGCCCTACTTTTAGCTCCAGTTCTAAACTAAATAAGCAAAATTTGGACTCTAAACTATTCTTTTATCACCGTTGATTCCGGTGGGTAATTTGTGATCAATTGCAATCTTTGCTGTCAGGTTAGCTTATATAATACCCTGTGCTTTTAAAAATACTGCTAAAAAGCTATAAAGCTGTGCCATATTGTATGTAGTGTTAGTGCTAGCAAGCCCCAGGGGCCTGAAGTTGGCTGTATTCCTAGATTGAATTGTAGGGAGTCAGTCTCTCCTTAATGGAGTGAAGTATTGATCATTCGAGCATAAACATGGGAACATAGTCAAGTGTGCAGCTTTTTCCTCTAAGCACTTTGAGCCACTCTGCAGTGCTGTGGTCTTAAAATATAGAACAGCCTCAAAGCATGTGTAAGCTTCTCCTTTCTAGATTGCTGGCACAGACGTGAAGTGCAAGTTCTGGGAATTGGAAATGAAAAATTAACTTACAAAAGCAATTAAGCTGAGCGAAAAACTAATTAAAAAAATGTACCCAGAGCATGTCGGATAATAAGTAAATTAATCTGTCCTCTTGGGTTTGATGGCGTTTTTGGGTGTGCAGAAAGAGGTTGTTGTGTTTCCAGGTGCTAATGTTTGTGTGTGTGTGTGTGTCGGTTTGTTTAGAGCTGGAGAACCTAAAAGAGATGATGCTGAAGCAGAGAAAGAAAGACTCCTTACCCCACAATGATACAGCACTCACTGATGAGCTCGCTCAGGCCAAAAAGGAGGCTGCCCAGGCACAGGAAAGCTTGAATGTAAGATACTAACCCTTGTTTCTTTGCAGTAGAGTGCAAAAGTTGGTAAAGCTTTACTTGACATTATGGCGTGGTTAAGCCAGTATTAACACACCATAAAAGATGTCATATGGCGTCATGACTTATGATAACGTCCATTAATATAACAGTGTCATGTTACCAACATATTTTTAACCCTTAAAAAGGGTGCACTCTGAAAAAGGTTACATTAATACGTTAATGCCACATTTATAGTACCTAGCAGATGAGATGGTTCTAGAAACGCAGTGGATATCATACCTGTACCAAAAAAGCTGTTAAGGCATCCTGAGACTATAGGATCAAGTTTAAGACACACAAAACGACGTCAGATCTCTGGATAAAAACTCATGTTTCAGCTCTCGTCACTAATGCATTGCCTGTTCATGTGACATTCGTAATTCCTTTCTTTCTTACTAGATTAAATACAGTTTTGTGGCCGAATTAAAGATACAGCCACGACTTTTACTGATCTGTGCTCTTATTATGTTCTTTTATTTAACGAACATTAAGATTACACTCATATGCTATCACTGGGTTTGCTTATTAAATTATTAAATTATTGTATAAATTATTATTATTATTATTGTTATTATTACTATTGTTGTTATTGTTGGTAACACTTTCTATGAATGTCACCTTTGTAAGCATCTATAAACACATTTATAACATGTTATAATGTATTCATAAGGCGTTATAAACATGGTTATAAATATTTATAAAAAAGAATTACACTGAATTACACTTTATAGCCATGTTTATTATACATTATGAATTGTTAATATAATGCATTATAAGTAGTGTTAATAACATGTTATATTGTCAGTGCCAAAGAAGTCAGTCCCAGCTTGGAGAGCGTAAAGTAAAGACAAATACCAAGCTAACGGTGGTGTACATTACCTTTCCCACATTGGGTAAAACACTGATGGCAGCTCTAGTTTAAACTCTGACATTTGAAGCCTGTAATGAGCTTTACTGTGAATGTTTTAGTGTTTCAGTAAATCCTTCAGTAAATACTTCAACTTGAAGCCTCACTCTGAACACTGGAGGAGGCTTTAGTACAGTACGCTTCACTTTACTTAGAGCGGACAAATACAACTTATGAGCTCTTGTAATTTGTTATGAACAGTACTTATAATGTATTATGTTAACAATTCATAATGCATAATAAACATGGCTATAACATATAATGCATTTTTATAAATATTTATAGCTATGTTTATAATGTCTTATGAATGCATTATAACATGTTATGAATGTGTTTATAGGTGACATTCATAGAAAGTGTTACCTTATTGTTATTATTATTATTAGTAGCAGTATTGACGTGGTACTAGTATTAGAAGTAACTGTAAGTAGGGGTGGGCAATATGGAAAAAATAGTACATCATAATACTTGAAGACTTTTTCACAGTACCTGACACAAAATCACAATCTTTGTCATTTTTCTGAGGCTTGATAAGGTGGAACAGAAAAAAGCCTCAGTATTTTTAAATAATACTATCAAAAACTAGAATACAGTGGCTTTTATTCAGCACTTCACAAACTTCACTACATCAAATAAAATTCAGTAGAATAAGTTATGTTGTTTTTGTAAGTTGGTCTGTGATCTACTGATGATATCCACAATATTCTCAGGAAAATGTGCTGTGACATTTTATCACGGTAACAGTATAATATTGTTACATGGCCCACCCCTAAGTAATAGCAACACTGGTAATTTTGAGACAGTTCCTAACTCTGAAGTGTGTGGGTTTAACCATTTATGGTATTTATTTCCCACACAGTTATGTGTGTTACAAGTTTCTAGCTAGAGGCCGAGACAGATGAGCTTGGATGGATGTGTTAAATCAGCAGCACACCTCATTTCATTAAATTTAATGATAAATTGATTCTAGAAAATAGATATTGGATGGTAACTGTAGATACTGGACTTCCTCACGGCGACATTTGGAAATAGCACACATCAGATCACAGTGTATTGTTTATTTGTTTCTTTGTAATTGCTCTTTATTCTTGTTGTTTTTTAATAAATTACTGCTTTTTGTCCAGATGACCAGTAGTGTATGTCTGTATGTGTGTTTTGGTGTGTAGTTGGCTGCTGAGAAGCATCAGGCTGAGCGTAAGAAATGGCTGGAGGAGAAGCTGGTCCTGATTGCTCACGCGAAAGAGGCGGAGGAGAGGAGGAACCAGGACATGAGACGATACGCTGATGACAGAGAGCGTCACACTCGCCAGCACACTGAGATGGTACAGAGAGCCTCCCACATTCTGCGTCTCTGTTTCTGTCATTTCTTGTGTTCCTGCTTGTGAATGTATAGAAGCCCATTGCCACCAAGTACAAGAGAAACAAGTCATACCCCCCCCCTTTCTGTTTCTGGCAGCCCTACTGAAAAATATTGACTTAGTATCGTGAAATAATGAGTTATTTTCTCAAAATGTTGGCTCAGTGTTTTGAAGTAATGATTTATTTATTTATTTATTCTTAAAAATAAAGACTCAGTATCTTGAAATAATTATCCCACAACAATAACATAGTATCTCTAAATAACACATTTTCTTGAAATAAGAACTCAGTATCTTGAAATAATGCCTTAGTTAGCACCTCATAGTGACTTACTTTCTCAAAATATTGACTTAGTATCTCAAAACAGTGCCTTTCTTGAAATTTAATAACTCGTTATTTTGATGTAGTAAGTCAAAAAAAATCTGAGAAAATTAGGAGAAATTTAGAAAGGTAGAAGTGTTAGGAGTCAACATTTAAAAATAATGAGTGATTTATTGAGATACTAAGTCAATATTTTGACAGTCTGCTGCCCAGGAAAATCCTGGGTCCTGATCCTTAAAGTGCAATTATAATTCAGTTATTAGTAATCAGACTTATTATTTATTAACTACTATAAATAATTCAATAAGTACTATTAAACTTATAAGTTATGTGGTTATGCAAGTGAGCAATTGAAGGAATCCCATACAGTTTAAGAAGCTGAGATTAAAATTTGTAATTCTCTGCTAAAACAGCCTTTCACAATGCGAGTCTGTCTCCCTTTCTGTGTGGATCAGGAGTCACTGACTGCAAGGCTCGCCGAACGCGAGGAGGAGATGGAGAGATGGAGGAAAGAGAGAGACTCGCTCGTTTCTGCTTTGGAGGTTCAGCTAAAGAAACTCATCTCCTCACTTGCAGAGAAAGACAAGAAGATCGAGGAACTGCAGCGTAGTGACCACTCCCAGACACCAGAGGTCAGTGCAGTATAGCCTTTACCATTCTAGCCGTTATTCACTATGTAGTGAACCATTTTCCCTCCTAAAACACACCCGACTCAGTTTACAAAGGGATAGATTATTTAAGAATGAATCAAATTAGGTGTTTTACACCCGAAAAAAATGCTGATGTAGTTAGAGGTCTGGGATTGGGATGGAGAAATAGTGCATGTGTGTTTATATTTGTGTTTGCCTCTACTGCATTGCATAACCTTTTCCCCATGGGGATCTATAGCCTCTTTTCCACTGTCGGGCTAAACCATGAACCACAGCCTCATCGTTCCATTACGTGCCAGCACGGGCTCGGGTGAACAGTCGCAGGGTTTTTTTTCTGACTGTTGTGCTGCTAAATCGGGACAGAGGAGTATTGAAAAAAGTGCAAAGAGGACAGCGGGTCACTGATGGCCTTCTGTTTATATAATAAAGTTGATGTCTCTCCTCATTTTGTTCACTGATGATATTGAGGATTTGTTTTTTTGATCTCCAGATGAGAAAAGTGACGTAAATGTAAAGCCAGTCAGTGAATATCTACGTTCAGTAAAAGACTATTGTCTAGCGTCCGTGGCCACGTTTCGCATTTTGGCCACAAAAATGCAGAATATGTGGCCCGAGTGGCCATTTGCCTTGGAAGGTTTTTTGCATTATTTTTCCCTTTTGAGTAGCCTGTTCAGACACAGAGCTAAGTGCATCACACTAGATTTTGCCAAATTGTTTTTTTAACCGTAACCCCTGGCTAATGTAACGTTATGGTGCTGGTACGAGTGGATCAGACACAGCAGTGCTGCTGGAGTTTTTAAACACTGCGTCCACTCACTGTCCACTCTATTAGACACTCCTACCTTGTCGGTCCATCTTGTGGATGTAAAGTCAGAGACGATAGCTCATCTGCTGCTGCACAGTTTGTGTTGGTCATCCTCTAGTCCTTCATCAGTGGTCACAGGACGCTGCCCACAGGAGCTGTTGGCTGGATATTTTTGGTTGGTGGACTATTCTCAGTCCAGCAGTGACACTGAGGTGTTTAAAACTCCAGCAGCACTGCTGTGTCTGATCGTCTCAGACTCTGTGAGGGTCCATGGGGGTCCTGACCACTGAAGAACAGGGTAAAAGGGGGCTAACAAAGTATGCAGAGAAACAGATGGACTACAGTCTGTAACTGTAGAACTACAAAGTGCACCTATATAGTAAGTGGAGCTGATAAAATGGACAATGAGCGTAGAAACAAGGAGGTGATCATAATGTTATGCCTGATCGGTGTGTTTATATATATATATATATGTATATATATATATATATATATATATATATATATATGTATATATATATGAAAATGAAAGAATTAGAAATGGATTTCATACAATGAGGGTAGTGGGAGTTTAGAAACGATCGTATATTTGGCACAAACGGAGGCACATGTGAAAGTAACAGAGCGCTTGGATCTGCATCAAATTACTCATCAATCAAACCCCACGTACGTAAATTGGCGTGCTCTAGCCGCAGTGTGAAACCAACCAATGCCAGTTATTGCGCTGCTTAATAGCCCTCTATAACATCAAGTGAAGCAGCAGCGGATGCTCACCGCAGTGTCTGCGTGTGCCGTTGTGAACCAGCATCAAATGAACTTCATGGATACGTTAGGGCAACAGAAGAAATGCAGTTGAGGTTAAAACCCCAGAAAAGTAACACGAGAAGGGGACTCTCAGTTCTGTGCTTGTGAATAGAGAACGCTCTTGGATATCAGGGTTATATCGGTGCTATTGTCTTTCTGACTCTTGTTTCAGGGGGCTGATGAGGGCAGAGCTGAGGAGCTGCAGGCTCTGCTGAATGAGAAAGAGGCTGAGATCCACAGACTGAACGAGCAGCTCAGCAAACTGGTGCACACGCACGGCACCAGAGAGACTGAAGCCAGCGTACGCAGAGACTCTTCCACACAGGTCAGACACGAACGCACACAGCATCGTAGACACTGATCCTAGATTACAGAAAAGACAGACGTCCGCTACACCACTTTTAAGATTGTAACAAATTTAGAAAATGGGGAGCATCAAACACCTAACGTCAGCCTTTCTCTCTTGTAAAGGCTGACACAGTATACAACAAGGCAGAAGGGTAACACACATACACAGGTTTTGGCTACAAAAAAGCACTCAAAACCCCCAAATCTCACTGTTATCATATGATACAAACAAATATAAACTGGAGTGGACCTGATTGTGCTTTTATGTACCAGAAGAAGCATGAAATAAGTAAAAATATCTGGTTGGGAAATGTAGATTTCTCATAAAAAGCTGGACAGTCATTTTACTACAAAACTACTGCAGGCCACTGACTTGACATTGTGAAGAGACAGCCTTTATGCCTGGATCCGTAGGTTATAAACATTATAAAGCCTCTTATCTGGAGCAAGCAGTTCCTCTCCGCAGTTCCTCTCCACACTTCGCCTTTTTTCCATCTGCTCGCTCTCTCATTGGCTGTTGCTCAAATCACTCGTTCAGTAACTTCATTGACCAGCTCACGCTACAGACTCATAAACGTTTTAAGTCATAAAAATCGAATAGGTTTGAAAATGTCAGGAGGCCTCCAGTCATGCTGGAGCTCAATCTGAAGGCTAAGAATTGATTAGTTTCCCCTCTGGTGGTGACCAGATCGTTTGCGCCATTAATCGCTTCCAGTTGAGCTCCCGACCCGGAAAATCACTTCAGATTGAGAAAATTTGTTGGAAGATTGAAATCTGGGTTAAAATCAGGCAAAAAAAATCATGTTGTGTAGATTTTCCTTAAGAACATCATTGACTAAAACAGAGACTCATTTGTGCTGATCAGGTCAGCATCGATTTACACCACATTTTATACACCACTGTTCAAAGGTTTGCAATGGTTTCAGCAATATAGTTGCAGACAAGTGTATAAAATGATGCTAATATGCTGGTCCTGTGAAAGTCAAGAGATTTCAAAAAAGTAGCAGAAAAACAAGTATCAAGTATCTTTGCATTTATGTATGTTTATCCCTGTGTGTTTCTGTGGGATCATATTTCGTCCCTTTTCGCCACTTGTTAAGAAAGCAGATAACCTGACAAAAATGATGTAAATAGACCATTACAGTATACATATACATACATCATCTAAACCACTTATCTTCTGGGTCGCGGTGGGGTGCTGGAGCCTATCCCAGCTGTCATTGGGCGGAAGGCAGGATACACCCTGGACAGGTCGCCAGTCAATCGCAGGGCAGACAGACAGACATACACAATCGCACACACATTCACACCTAAGGGCAATTTAGCGAGTCCAATTAGCTTAACTGCATGTTTTTGGACTGTGGGAGGAAACCGGAGTACCCGGAGGAAACCCACGCAGACACGGGGAGAACGTGCAAACTCCACACAGAAACGACCCTGGTCGTTCAAATTTTCAAATTTTGAATAAAACATCTAGAAATAGCTTTAGGAAAATCAAGCTCCACTTTTGCTTTATATCTGAAAGGATATGTAGTAGTCAAGAAGTTGTTACTGCGAAAAAGGAAATAAACAAAAACAGAAGAAAATTGCAGGTGAAACAAACAAGCTGCTGGTATTCTCACAACTATGGGCTGACCAGACCAGAACTCAACATCACTGAATGTGTTTGGGTGGAATTACTAGAATTCTGAGAAGCACAAAATAAAACCAACTTCTAACACTGAACTTTAGAGATGTGGGAAACTCTCCTGCAGATGTCTTTGAGAATCTGAAAGCGAGTCTCCTAAAAAGAATGGAAGCTGTAATAAGTGTAAAAATGGACAATAAATACCGAAAAATGTGACTGTTTGTAGTTGTTAAAGCTTTTGTGTAATTCTGTTTTTTTTCCCCCAGTGCTGAAAAATGAGTAACTTAATGACTGTAACTACACACTGGGGCTACGACTAACGATTATTTTCATTGTCGATTAATCTGTTGATTATTTTTTCGATTAATCGATTAGTTGTTTGTTCTATAAAATGTCAGAAAATGGTGAAAAATGTCAATCAGTGTTTTCCAAAGCCCAAGAAGATGGCCTCAAATGTTTTTTTTAATCCACACTCCAAATATATTCAGGTTTATGTCACAGAGGGGTAAAGAAACCAAGAAATATTCACATTTAAGAAGCAGGAATCAGAATTTTTACTTACTTTTCTTAAAAAATTACTCAAACCGATTGATCGATTACCAAAATAGTTGCTGATTAATTTAATAGTTGACACCTAATCGATTCATCGATTAATCGTTGCGGCTCTACTACACCCTGTAAATGTTATTATTGAATAGGAAATAACACTAATTATTAATATGAAAAGTAATTCCAAACTTTTGAATGGCACTGTAAATGAGGGCATAGATTAATGTTGTCCAGCCAATCACTAAATCTAGCCACTTAAACAAAGAAATGTTTTTTTTTTTTCTTATTTCTTTTTATTTGTATTGATTTCTCAGATGTTAACTGGTCATAACTAGAAAATATGAGCGTATAATTGTGTTTTACTACATTTGGTCTTTATAAACAGCATCAAAGAGTCAGCCAGCCCACATAGACTCATCCACACAGCTCAGTCAACATGAACAACGCTTCTGGACTTGTAAATGTGACCTCACAAGTCTGTATTTCCACATTTAGGTACTTCTGGAGACGTTTGGTCCTCATGCATAGTATTAAAGGCCACCCAGCATACGTGTACTCGCAGGTCACGCCTCAGAAATACACACACAGAGTCGACCAGCAGCACAAACACTCATCCACACAACACACTCCCCATCACAGACAGCGTGCAGAGACTCACCCACACAACATATCGCCTGACACAGCGTACAGAGACTCATCCCTACAGGTCACGTGAGACAGTCACATACACACAGATGCAAAGACTCTAATACCTTAACCCACATAAGCATCTGTCTGTCATATCCTACACAGCTGTGACTTATTCATACCATATCACTCTCGCGGTTCAGTTACTGCTCTGAAAGTTTTCCTGCAGTTCATTCCACCTTAAAAAATAATAAGTGTAATTCAACCACTGAGAATGTAAATGAAGTAATTTGGAGTAGTTTGATTTGAAATGGCTTATTCTAGACTTGCCCATTCATTTTTTTTTACAGTGATGACAACAGAAAACGGGAGTTGCATTGTCCACGGTACGAAAGTCAGATACCAGAAAACATATTTGCTCTGGGGTGGCCAGTCCATTGTTCTGACAACACCAGAAGTTGGTTGCATTTTCTGCTTCTCAGACTTTAAAGATAAATTTAGATTTAAACAAACAGGAACGGCATGTACAAAGTACAGACCTTCACAAATACAGTAAAGTACCATGATCACACGTTTGATTTAATGCTTATGTTACACTATTAACATTATTTGTGCTGCTGAACTAATATATTGTCAAGATGACTAGTTTTACTTTACTTTTACATATTAATTTAAAGGATAGTTTGACACAAAATGTTACTAATGAATAAAGATCACCACAATTCAGAACGCTAACTGCTGGATTCCATCAGCTGTTCATTATTTAAGCAATAGAATGCGAGAGGGAGTGTGTTATCGTGAAATAACACCACGGCTGTAATTTGGTCACGATAACACACTCCTCGAGTGCTCTATTGCTTTTATACAACAGTTAAATAAATAAAGTAATAAATTAATAAACTGGGCCGTGAACGCGGCGTTTAATATGTTTTAATGTTCGCAGTTCCTTCACCAAATTATTGTTCCTTAACGAGCAGCTTGTTGCTACGTCAGAGTAACGAGCTCCGCCCACTCGCTGCACAGCCGGCAGTTCGTTCTCCAGCTCCTTACACTAAATTCCCAAACTGTCATCACCACTGAGCAGCTTTTTTGTTTTTTATTGCGGCAGTTTTATGGCTCAGTCTGATTTGGTCAGACGTTTGGCGAATGGTATTGGGTTCATTTCTGGCTGATTCCAGGTTGTTTAGGTTCTTCTGTCACAGCTGCCTGAAAAGCTGCTCAGTGGTGATGACAGTTTGGGAATTTAGTGTCGTCTCATCTTCAGAGTCTGACCAAATCAGCTGTCGATCAAATGTGATCTTAGAAGTATCCATTTTCTGTTTGTGGCAAAGTAAGAAGTAAAAAACGTTCAAATGGCTTGAGCGTCTCCTACAGCTGTCAAAGTCGTTGCTTAGCAACGGCGTCTCAGCGGAGTGATACAGTGTTTGTGAAAAACCTGTGATGTTATGGTGAAATAACAGCACAGTTAGAGACGCTTCTCAACCAATCAGCTTGCGTGGGCGGAACTCACTGTAGTATAATATCCTTTGTAACATTTGAGATTGTCTCTTTCAACTCGTTAGACAATGGATGACTTGGAAATGGGGCGGCCTCTGGACAGCAGCACTCTTAAACTCAAAAGAAAAACTAGAGGATCTGTCACCAGCCAGGTAAGACCATATGGCCTTTCACAGTTATTACATTATTGCCTGATTGCAGTTGTTTGAGCTGATTGCATTTATTTTCTACAGTTGTTGGCTTCATGTAGGCTATTTGTTTACATTCCAGCCAACAGAATGTGAACGGGTGCATTTTCATCCATGGGGTTGAGACAAATGTATATAAATAAAAGAAAGCAAGACTTGTGACATGAGGCATGTAACCACTGAGGCTATCGTCTTTAGAGGGCAGCGGCTCGTGCAGTTTGTTAAGTTGAACTCAAGCTGATTCTGTCGTAAGCTATGAGTAACAAAGTATCGTTGGGCCATTTTAGGTTTGTATTTTAAGGCTACGTTCACATTACAAGCATCATTGCTTAAATATGATTTTTTGCTCAAATCCGATCTGTCTGACACGATGGGTCACACTCGTTTAGGTAAGTGATTCAAATCTGTCATTAATGTGACGAACCGGCGTCCTGAAATGACCCTCATCCGCACATCCTACTCAGTAACGTCACGTGAATGAATCACGTTCATCATCAGCACAAACTAACGAGCAGAACGAGCTTCGCTGAGAAGATAATTAACTCTGATCAGCTCTCAGCTTCATTATTAGAGCGAGACGAAGGAGAAAACGGTGAGATGAGCTGCTTTTCCACCATTTACAGGCTTTAACTTCTGTTCAGCGCTGCTGCCATGGTAACGCTGAATGATGGAGCACGCGCAGTGGGAAAAAAGCACATAAATTCCGAACTGAGCGTCACATTAAGGTCGCACGGCCACGAATCGGATACGTATCCAATCTAGGACCGATCGGATTTGATAAGATCAGATTTGCGTGTCCAGATTTGCCCTGAAAACATCAGATCTGAGACACATTATGGCAAAAAAAATTGTGCCACTTCACCCTGGTAATGTGAAACGTAGCCTAAGACAATTGTTAATGGTAATTATTTATATGACAGTTAATAATTACTAAACAAAAATTGATGGACCTCCCTAAGGATGACAGTAACCAGGTAAGCGTATGACAGTTAAATTATTATCTACCCAACAGGTCTTAGAAAATATGGTTTTAGAAAATATGTTCTACAAAGTTGAATCAGTTGGTGTCAAGTATGTTGTCTGTTATCTTGGCTTTGTTAAAGGGGAATTTTATTACTTTGGCACATTTTTGTCAAAGATGCCAATACATTCCTTTCAGAGCTGGTAACAGCAGCAAATGTCTCTGCACTGAATATGAAAAAAAGGAAATGCCATATTAAAGACTTGAAAGTTTGCAGTCACTGGCAGGTGAGATGTGTTCAGTCACAGATTGATGTGCACCTTAAAGCCAAAAGCGGAGCATCTCGCCTCTTTGAAAATGATAATTAAGCTGCTGATATCTCCCCCCCTAGGGTTCCTGTGGCAGCTATCCGTCTGTGCTCGACTCGTCTGAGGTTTCCACGGAGATGGGCCGACGTTCTCGGTTCCCGAGGCCTGAGGTAGAGATCGCCTTCAGCTCGCTGCAGCCAGACCGCTTCGCCCTCAAGCGGCATGGCGACGAGTCCGCCGTCACCGTTAAAATTTCCCGCACAGCTCGCAAGAGAAAGAGCGGCGAGATGGAGAAGGTAAGAAATCAGCCAGAACATCAAACTACACTGACCCTCTAGTGGTAATATTGTGAATCATTTAGATCATTTTCAAATGGTATAAAACTTACAGACTTGGATTTCTTTACAGTGGTGCTGATGGGAACCAGGCATCACAATGTGCACAATATAAAAATATAGTGAACCTACACACAGTGTGTTTTAAAAAAATATGTTTTAAACCAGTGATAACTCCTGTTAAACAATGTCTCAGGCACCAGGGTTTATTTTTGTAACCATTTGTACCCAATTGTAATTAACTTGCATTAAACACTTCAGACGTCTGGTTCCTATCACCACAACTGTGAACAGTTCTGACCTCAAGGTTCTCCAGAATGGTGCATTTCCAGTTAAACCACTGTGAATGAATTTGTTTGGATCGTGATGATAAAATTATGTAGAAATTTTGAAAACTCAGTAGGTTCCCCCTTTTATTTTCATTATATAAACGATTAGCGCTGCTATGATTAATCAACAAATTTGACTATATTGATTATTTTAGAGGAATTTTGTCTACATGTCATTTACTAACAGCAGTCATTCTGTCCGATTACATGAAATGTTGAGGGCGATATGGCTTAATGTTGTTGACTGCAAAGGCAGAACCAGGAAGGCACTGTAATTAGATTAATCAAGTAATTAATAATTGATAGGCTCATCAGTTATTGAAGTAAAAGTGAGTTGCAGCTCTGTCTGTGATGTCTGATGTGATGGCAGTCACTGCCCATTTTACTCACGGGCAACAGGATTTAAAGATCACTGTTTAGTGTGATTAAGGTTTATTTTATTTCTTTCTCAGTGGATTCTCCTGACAGTTTCCCAGAGCAGCAGCCCACAGTACTGTTTTACTGTGTCTGTCTATGAGCTGAGTACAGACCAGCCTCTGACCCAGCCTGTCCAGCTAGAGGCCCTTTAATCGCCTTAATTAGTCATTACCGAAGCTTTAATTGGCCTCGCTTAAACTAACAATTAAAATTCATTATGCAACAGCAGCGTAATGGCAATGTCATTAAGCAGATTGGGGTTTGTGTGTGTTTGGTGGGCAGAGCAGACAGCACTGGCGCGTCCAGTAAAAAGAACTGACTCTGCATTACTCACACTGGGCAGCTGGCACCACAGACCGACGCGTACATAAAATTTAAGACCCAGAAGGAACAGGGTTTGACCGCTTTTCTTGGTTGTTAGTGGGAACGATGATAGTGTAATGGAAAACCATATATATGTGACATACAAAATGTGTACATAATATAATATATATAATAAATAAATAAATAAAAACATAGTAGAGTAGATGTATGTTCAGCCACAGCCAAGTTTTTCAAGCCACAACAAATATATCCTTAACTACAACACATTTCATTAACAAAGGCCTTTAAAAAGGTGTGTTTGTTATTAGGGATGTGCATTCTGACTAATTTTGATTTACAAATATCGGTAAGAGTTCTCAAATTGATATCTGCGTACAGTGATAACTGTGTATAAGGAAAGGAGCAATGCCGAAAAAAGAAAAAATGGATTTAGACTAAAATTAAGTGCGTTTACATGCACTTGAGTAATCAGATAAAGCGTTGGGCAGTTATTGGATTTCTGCTTTGTTACCAGCCAGTAAACTTGCAGAAGAAGATGTGATGTAGAACTCGAACTTCAAGCCGTGGCTTTACCTGAAAATATGACCATACATCATGTAGAAGATGAAGAATATTTAAATGCTTAATTTTATCGAGAATGTATTTGGTTTATCGTGCATGCGCAGACTGAGAAAATCCGAAAGAAATCAGAGTAAGAGTAAGACTACTGAGCTGAAATCCAGCTCTCTTTATCAGATTTCTTAATCGGATTTCTAGATCAGAGTATGGTGTTTGCATGACCATTTAAATAATCGGATAGCTGCAGAAATACGATTATGATCGGATTATTGAGTGCATGTAAACACGCTCAGTGATGTAGAGCTGTGACAGCACTGCTGTTGCACAACAATTGGACAACATACGGAGGAACACGTTTTGAAACATATTTAAATACCCAAGAAAAGTCAGGTTTTCATGTCGAAAGTGTGACATGATGGCTTCTGAGCTAATGAGGTAAAACTACAACCGATGCTGGATGCTGATGGAAGCTCATCATCTACAGGTGTTTTATGTGCCAGCGTGTTACTTTGTCAGAGAAACATATTTCTTCTCCGTCACATTCTTAATGATGTGTCCTTGGCAATGTGCCCACTTAAGGCTCTCATGTTTCAGAGTAGTGAAGTATTAAATAACAGGCTTACTCGCAAATACAAACTAAATTCTCACATTTTAAAGTTTTGTTAACACAAAAACGGCATTTTGGGTTTCACTAAATTGTTGGTCTGTATTAGTGCTGGGCTATATGACAAGAATATCGTATCTCATTTTCACCAAATGCTATACATATCAGGATATTTTGGCACATAGATACAATGGACTAATAGTGTCATAGTGTCAACATTTAAATACTGCACTCTAAAAAATTATCCAACGTTTGCGACTTTTTAACTTACTAAAGTAAGTAACCACTTAATTTTGAGTTCATTAAATTTCTAATATTAACAGAAGAATCGTTTGTTTTATATTTGTTAAATTGTTATTTGACATTCAGTGAACTTAAAACCTTTAAGTTGAACAGTGTTTTTATTCAACATTTCAACATTTCACTTTCTGTACAACACTAAAACCAATTAAGCAGGACTTTTTTAATGAAACACGCAGTTGGTCTTTCAAGTGCTTCTTTAAGTGCTGACAATATCCACAATATGCTCACAAAAGCCCATTGTGTGTCACAATAAAAAATATATTACAGTAACACTAAAATACCCTCATATTTCCCACCTCTAGTCCGTTTTTACATAATGAAACGCAATAAGTACTGGCACCTTGAGCGGATAACCAGGCACTCGAGTACCTGTGCCCATCCCCGTGTGTAACTATGGAAAATGTTAAAAATTACAAAAATATATATAGCTGGTTTAGTTGAGTGTGTCATAAATCATAAGTTCATGCCAAGTAGGGGTGCGGGAAAAACTCGATTCTTAGATGCATCGCGATGCGGACGTGAACGATTCTGAATCGATTCATAAATGTCAAAAATCAATTTTCGAAATATTTAATTTATAACGTGATATTGACGGAACGCAAAAGGCGGAACTGGAAGTGGGTAAGTGCAGCGTCCGGACAGTCTGTGGCGGCACATAACAAAAACACAACTGGATGAGTGAGAAATCCGACCGGCTCCCTCTGCATTAAAGCCAGGTCAGGTCAGGAGTCACAACCCAAATGATAAGAAGAGACATTTTGTCCTTTCAACAAAGTCAAACCACCTTGGGAGCCACAACATTTAATGTCCAGTATGTCTCAGTGTGTGTTAATGTCCTAGTAAAGGCTAAACAATATAAACGAGAGCGCAGATTTACTTCGCTCTGCTTTAAGCTTCAGCTTTAGCCGCTTTCCTCCCATCTCCGCCAGAACACCTTTCTTCAAAACTAGAAGAGTTTCTTGTAAAATGTCTCAGCGTCCGGCTGTTTTACGAGGCTGAAGTCGCTTCTCATTCGCCAGTCGCTCATTCTAATTCTCCCGTTTCACCTTAAATTCTGCCTTAGGCGCCGAATGTAACTGCTGCACCATTTAAGGTGGAACGGGAAAATTCGAAAGAGAGGCGAGTTCATTTTCGCAACTTTTTAGAGAAAGACAGTCTCCCAGCAGATTTAACCAACCGCGCTGCTTATAAATGCGAATAAGTTCTCCAAATGTTTCGTCTTAATCTCTGTTTTTTAGTTCGCTACTAAAAAGGCCAGTCCTCGGGGCTATGTGACCTGCTGTCTGTTCTCAGCCGGTGAGAACCAGGGCTTTCGCGCTATGCTGCATACTTTGGAGCCGAGATTCAGCGTCCAGTCTCCCCCACAAACCCCCCCCCCCAAAACCGAAATTATAAAATGACTAAAGAAAACGGGAAGGATGGCTGTAACGTGCTGCGCGGACACCCATTGCCACTGGATCTTATTTCAGGGTAACAGCGCATTTATCGCAGATGAGTGGCAGCAGCGTCTCTGAATGAGAGCCTTCTAGTTCACTTGCCACATCACTTCCATTTACATTATGGATCATTACAAATACGTTGCTTTAAAACTACCAAGTTTTTAGACAGTAGGAAGATAGAAATCCTGTATAGAGAAAAAAGATGCATCGTTTTATAATCGCATCGCAGCCCTCTGAATCGTAATCGAATCACGAGGTGCCTAAAGATTCCCACCCCTAATGCCAAGCAACCACGTCGCCTCAACACAGAGCAACTTCACTGCTTTCCATGCAGCCGTTGAAGCTGCCTCACACAAAAAGCATTTGTAGGAACGCTTTAAATCATCAAACAATAAGAAAAAATGCTAATTTTCCAATTAGTGGCTGGTATGAAGGCACGACAAGTTTGATGAATCATCTCAGATATGTACACTGATACTTATCAGAGTAACACTAGTCTCTGGTGAGGGCTGATGCTAAAACCGGGGTGCCTTAAACTTGATTGTTGTGGTGAGTTCTGGCTGTGTTATCCTCACTGCTGCTTTGCATGATAAAAAAAACAATCTTCAATTTGGCCGAATAAAATAACTCAAAGTAAATAAAAGCAATTAACTAAAATTAAAACAGATAATGCTGATTTCTTAAACTCTTGTTGTCCTTCTAACTCATAATAGCTTCTATATCAACATACCAGGAGGAGCTGGGCTTTAAACTGACTCTTAATACATTGTTGCCACCTGTTGGATTTATTTTGAACTGTAATGAAAATACTTAAAATTATGGCTAACTGTGAAACAAATATTTTTGAGAGTGAGAATTCGGGTACTTGTTTAGATATACCAATATCCGTATCTTGGTATTTGAAGCCTGTAAAATGATGTTCAGTAATACGGTGCTTATTGTGTGACTGTGAAAAGAAATTGTGCCTATAACCGAATGAAGAGTGATCGTAATGCGCACATACGATTCAAATATAATAGCTTGAAGTTATTAAGGTGATGGACCGGTGTACTGAGGCAATTACGATAATGGCCTTTACTGTGACGGCACATTCAACTGGAGAGAGTTATTGTTGGCAGCACATTAAGGTGCTGTCTGCTGTTAAACGTGCACACACAAAATACACGCACAGGAACACACACAATACTCTCACTGGAACACGCAATACACACAAAAACACACTACACGCACAGGAACACACAATACACTCACTGGAACACGCAATACACACAAAAACACACTACATGCACAGGAACACACAATACACTCACTGGAACACGCAATACACACAGGAACTCACACAATACACGCACAGGAACACGCAATACACTCACTGGAACACGCAATACACACAGGAACACACTACACGCACAGGAACACACAATACACTCACTGGAACACGCAATACACACAAAAACACACGCACAGGAACACACAATACACTCACTGGAACACGCAATACACACAGGAACACACACAATACACAAAGAGGAACACACGATACACGCACAGGAACTCACACAATACACGCACAGGAACACGCAATACACTCACTGGAACACACAATACACACAGGAACACACGCACTACACTCACTGGAACACGCAATACACACAGGAACACACTCACTACACGCACAGGAACACGCAATACACACATAATACACACAGGAACACACAATACACGAAGAGGAACATACACGATACACGCATAGGAACACACAATACCCGAAGAGGAACACACACGATACATGCATAGGAACACACAGTACACGAAGAGGAACACACACAATACACTCACAGGAACACACACAGGAACACGCAATGCACGCGCAGGAACACACAATACACGCGCAGGAACACATACAATACACGCGCAGGAACATGCAGTACACACACAGGAACACGCAGTGCACGCGCAGGAACACACAATACACGCGCAGGAACACGCAGTGCACGCGCAGGAACACACAATACACGCGCAGGAACACGCAGTGCACGCGCAGGAACACAATGCACGCGCAGGAACACGCAGTACACGCACAGGAACACACGCAATACACGCGCAGGAACACACGCAATACACACACAGGAACACACGCAATACACACACAGGAACACACGCAATACACACAGGAACACACGCAATACACACACAGGAACACACGCAATACACACAGGAACACACTCACTACACGCACAGGAACACGCAATACACACATAATACACACAGGAACACACAATACACGAAGAGGAACATACACGATACACGCATAGGAACACACAATACCCGAAGAGGAACACACACGATACACGCATAGGAACACACAGTACACGAAGAGGAACACACACAATACACTCACAGGAACACACACAGGAACACGCAATGCACGCGCAGGAACACACAATACACGCGCAGGAACACATACAATACACGCGCAGGAACATGCAGTACACACACAGGAACATGCAGTGCACGCGCAGGAACACACAATACACGCGCAGGAACACGCAGTGCACGCGCAGGAACACACAATACACGTGCAGGAACACGCAGTGCACGCGCAGGAACACAATGCACGCGCAGGAACACGCAGTACACGCACAGGAACACACGCAATACACGCACAGGAACACACGCAATACACACACAGGAACACACGCAATACACACAGGAACACACGCAATACACACACAGGAACACACGCAATACACACAGGAACACACGCAATACACACACAGGAACACACGCAATACACACAGGAACACACGCAATACACACAGGAACACACACAATACACACACAGGAACACACGCAATACACACAGGAACACACGCAATACACACACAGGAACACACGCAATACACACAGGAACACACGCAATACACACACAGGAACACACACAATACACACAGGAACACACACAATACACGCACAGGAACACACGCAATACACACAGGAACACACACAATACACGCACAGGAACACACACAATACACTCACAGGAACACACGCAATACACACAGGAACACACACAATACACACACAGGAACACACGCAATACACACAGGAACACACGCAATACACACACAGGAACACACGCAATACACACAGGAACACACGCAATACACACACAGGAACACACGCAATACACACAGGAACACACGCAATACACACACAGGAACACACGCAATACACACAGGAACACACGCAATACACACAGGAACACACACAATACACACACAGGAACACACGCAATACACACACAGGAACACACGCAATACACACAGGAACACACGCAATACACACACAGGAACACACGCAATACACACAGGAACACACGCAATACACACACAGGAACACACGCAATACACACAGGAACACACGCAATACACACACAGGAACACACGCAATACACACAGGAACACACGCAATACACACAGGAACACACGCAATACACACACAGGAACACACGCAATACACACACAGGAACACACGCAATACACACACAGGAACACACGCAATACACACAGGAACACACGCAATACACACACAGGAACACACGCAATACACACAGGAACACACACAATACACACGCGCAGGTCAGGTAATTTACGCAGTGAGGTAAGTTTGGTGTCCGTTGTGCTTTTTGTTAATTACACTGCTGAGATCTAACGTGGACACGTCTTCCAGTGCTCTCCATCTGTGGGAGTGAAGACGCGTCCATCGCTTATCTCCACTTTTCTGAATCCTCAGTGTTGCACTTCCTCCGTGGTGTGGTTGTCCCTGGCAACCGAGTCTACAACGCCACGCGCTCTGTTAAACCAAGTGTCCAATTGTGCCTTTAATGAAGTGACTCAGACTCTGTGTTTTGTTGGCTGCTTTTATGTTCTTCAAGAAAAGAGGCAGCAGCAGAAACAGCAAGACCAAACCCAACCCAGCACCACAGGCCAGTTCTCAGGTATCCTGTCCGCTTAAAAGTGACCGGGAGTGATTTTTCCTGAAGCTTTTATTATGCAAATGCGCTTCTGAGGTGTTTTCACCAGTCAGGTGAAAACACCTCCCACACACAGTCAAAACGGGATTGTCACAGTAGATTATATTAGCAATCAAGTGTTCTGCCAGTTATTTTGATGAGTAACCAGTTTTTTAAGACCGTAAATCATTTTTCAAAGATTCCAAATTGATTTAATATATAAAAATAAATCGAGAAGTCTTTAAAAAGACACATTTTTTTAAAGCTATGTCACATAGCTTTGTAGGGTTGCCATGTCTAGAAAAAATAAAGTCGTAAGTGTGCTTAAAACCAAACCCTTAGAAGTCCATCCTGCTATTGTTATTGATATTGATATTTTGTAGGTTTTTTAATACATATATTTTGGTAAAATTCAAAAATTAGCTCAAAATTGCAATCAATTTTATCGTCACCTGCAACTGCATGTTTAAATTGTGTGCTAATAGCACCCCCTTGTGGAGAGTCTTCAGCCTGCTAAACCTGAGTAAGCGAGTTTAAATCATTCACTCTAAGAGAAACTAGTACAATTTAAAATATGCATTATCATGATGCACATTGCCTACTAGTCATTGGCGGTTAGTTGATATAGTCAAGTTATTTTTGTATTGAGTAATCAAGTTTAATCCTGACAGTCCTGCTTTCAAAAAGGCATTATTGGCTCCTGAGTTAGACTTTCTGTGATGTTTTGCAAGCCTTCAGGAGGATCTTTTCAAGAAATAAAAGGTTATTCATAATTTTGACTAATCAAATATAAGAAATACATCGAAAGATGTGCATAACAAAAGCTTCATGAGGTTTTCTTCAGTGGTAAAGATAATGAAACTTACTGCACCAAACCGCTGAGCACTCAGGAGAAATCACTCCTCGGCTGCAGAAATAGGACGTTCCATTTGCATCCCATAAACCATCAATCACACCATAATCCAGACTCCTCTCACTCTCAACCAGTTCATCATTGATCATTTTTAATCATTGATAATTGTGTGAATTGCATGAGGTCTGCGCCGAGATTGGTCGCAAAGACCTGAAATCACTGGAACCATCAATGACCTACTTCTTCTGCTTTTCCATGGCAGGCAGAAGTGATGTAACCACCGTGCATCTAACATGAGGTGCTGTGCAGTTTTCACTGCTTCAAAGCACATTAAGTGTACAAGTTATTTTCAGTGTGAAGAAAAAAAAGCAGAAAGCTCATCAACCTCATCAACTAAATATAATATTTGTTTGTGTTAATCGTGTTCACACTCTTCCTTTACTGCTGTTTCCACTTTTTCTGGGGACTTGCTTTCAGTTTTTCAAAGAAATCTGCAGGGATATTTTACCACACCTCCAAAGTTCAGTCTCAGAAGTTGGTTGCATTTTCTCCTTCTCATGATCTCCTTCCTTATGCGAGTGGGTTATCTTATATCTTATCTCCTCACAAACATCTCCTTTAGCCATTCTTGAGGCACATATGAGAGGAAATTGAAGGCAGCTGAGGTGAGTTTGGGTAGCTGCTTTTTGAAGGAGAGTAATGTTAGGCTACGTTTACACAGCAGGTAATAAAATCAGATTTTTTTTGTTTGGCTGTTCACAATATCTTTTAAATGTGACATCAGTCTGAACAGATCAGCTCCTAAACCGACCCACATGCGCAGAAGAACAGTGCTTCACGTGGCTCGTCCAGAGGTAAACAGTCATGATGCCAGCGAACGCCAGTCCCTCCCGGAGCTGTCAGTTTCATCTTCGCCAGCATCACAGGAGCAATTATGAAGTTCCAGTGGTTGACAGCTGAGCTCATCACCCACGGTGTTTTCGAGTTCGCCTTAAAAAGCGCACGTTATTCGGCCACGGCCACTTCTTTGGTTGGCGTCCTCGGATTCTTTGAACTTTTTTTTGACGCTGCAGCCTCGGGCTCCTCCGGCCGCGTTCGGATTTTCGTTCGAAAACCTTTTCGAACACGGAGCGGTTTGATCAGTCTCTTCTAATGTTTTGGTGCAGAAACATCAGCCTAAATGTTTGAGTCTCAGCAGCGTGAAATTATAACGAATGTCGAGTTGTATTGACTTAAAAGTCGTTAATTTTCCGATCTGGCTGTTCAGACTGAGTCACATTGCCACAGATCGGATACGTATCGGATTTCAGTACCACGTATGAAAGCGTCTCAAATCGGAATTGAAAATGTCCGATTCAGTGTGTTTATCTGTTCACACTGACACACAGACACACATCTGTGTCGCATATGAAGAAAAAGATCAGATTTGGGCCACTTTTACCTGCCGTCTAAACGTAGCCTTAGTGACTCGTTTGGGAGCAGCTTTTGTTAGGGCGGACATTTAAGATCGGAAGGATGGAAGTGTTAAAGTGGCAGTAGAGTGCACAAATTAAATACTGATAGATTTGATGGTATACTTAGTGTTGGAGGCTTCTGTGTAATTTTCTGTTAATATATGTTCCTGCTTTTTTTCTGTTGCTGAAAAATGAAAAACTTGTACTTAACAGATGTTTGACTAAAAATTAATTTAAGGCGATTCTTACTTTTGTGCAGTATATGTAGAAAAATATAAACTAAACTCGTCGCTGTCCAGAAAAAAACAAGAATCTCCATTTTTTGCTATTTTTAGATTTCAGCATAGTTGAACTCAGCAGCTGTGCTTTACATTATGTGAACATTTCGTGATTGGACCAGTAGAAATGCTCCAAAATTGCTTCAAATAAAAACTCTTTACGTTAACTTACTTTTAAGGTAAAGAACGTTTTTACCCTGTACTGTAGTTTCCTTTCCCATTTTGGGGAAAGTTTTTTCATTTTGGAGATACTTGTTTTTCTTTGGATAGTAGAAATATATCTATGTAAAGGTCAAATGACCAGCATTGGGCTTAAGCTGGTGACAACAAAAGCATTCTGTAATTTGATATTAATTGTTTCCCACTCGTAACTCTTAAATAAGCTGAAATTGTGCTGATTCTAAACTTTCAATAAGTACCACATTTGTGCTTGTAAGGATACATTTTGATATGAATTTGATGTAAGATTATTGTTGTATTAAGTTATATACCCTTTTTTGCAGGAAAAAAACAGATCCTTTACATTTTTGCTGTATTTGTCATGGTTTGACATTGAAGCAAATGGGGAAAAAAGTCAAAAGCTGACCTGATCCTGTCAGTATAGACTGTACCATGAGTGTTAACGAAATGTATTACTTAAATATTGATCAATTATATACGACGCCTTCCACAAATATTGGCACTCGGTAAACATAGAGAAAAACAGGCTGTAAACAACATTCTTTATTGCTTGTCATTTTGATCTTTCATTCAAAATATTAAAAATCGAATCTTTATTTGAAGTACTTTGATTAAATGAAAAAACCTTAATATTAACATGAAAGAAATGTTTTTCTCGAATGTATGTGCGCCACAATTGTTGGTACCCTTAGAAATTATTATGAGTGAAATATAACTGAAGTATATTCCAGTTCATGTTCATGTTTTAAAGTTCACTTGAGCGATTAGGAATACATGCTCATTCCTGTTTCACTGGGGTATAAAAATTAGGTGACACACCGGCCAAATTCCCCCAGTCATTCATCGTTATGAGAAAGACCAGAGAATACATCAGTGATGTGCGGCCAAAGGTTTAAGCTGTGCAAATCAAGAAATGGCTGCAAGAAAATAGCTAAACAGTTGAAAATGCCCATTTCCGCTGTCAGGACAATAATTAGGAGGTTTTACGCAGCTGGAGTTAAATCTGCCAGGAAGAGGATGTATATCTGTACTGACCCCATGCACAGTGAGAAGGACGGTTTGAGTGTCCAGAGAATCTCCACGGATCACAGCTTAGTAGCAGCTTCACAGCCTTTTTTTTCAGACACTAGGTTTTGGGGTCAGAATGTCTCCCAAACTACAATCAGATGCCTACATAACCACAGGTTGTTTGAGAGGGTTCTGTGGACAGATGAGACTAAAATAGAGTTTTTTGGCAACACAAAGAGCAGCATGCAGAATAGTACCTCATCCTTGGTGTGAAGTATGGTTGACCGTCTGTGATGTGGGGCTGTTTGTCTTCCAGAGGCCCTGGACAACTTTTCAGAGACATGGTATCACAGACGCCGTCAAGTACAAGAAGATATTAAATCAAAGCTTAAGCTGGGCCATAGTTGGATCTTCCAGCAGGACAGTGATCCAATGCACACCTCAAAATCAACACAGACCTGGCTCACTGACCACAGAATCAAAATTTTGCTGTGGCCATCCCAGACCCCTGACCTAAACCCAATAGAAAATTTGTGGTGTGAACTAAAGAGGAGAGTCCACAAACCTGAAATGTGGGAATCTGAAGGATCTGGAGAGATTCTGTATGGAGGAATGATCTCCGATCCCTTGGCATGTGTTCTAGTCTTAGAGTTGCTATCTTTGCAAAGGGAAGCTTTGCAAGGCATTAAATGAAGGGGAGCCTACAGTTGTAGCACATATAGATTTAAGTTTTTAATATTTGTCAGATTTTTTTCTTCAAGCAAAAAAAAAAGTGACAATATGAAGCTTAAAATAATAATTTAAACGTCAGATGTATTGGGCCAGATTGTGTGGGTTTTTCAGACCATGTCATACATCTTTACGTATTAAAGCTCCCTTTATGTACGAAAAAGATAAAACCATCACTCCCCACATATTTTCATGCGTCCTTTACACTGGCATTAATGTTTTTAATATTTGGCATTTGATGTGTTTAACATTAAGCATAAATGAGTCTATATTGTCACGCACAAAGACGCAAAAAGAAGTTTTTAGCTCAGCTTTTGGGTTAAATACAAAATCAACGTTATACTGATGAAGATATGATGACAGTAGATAGTTCTGAAGACCCATCCTTCACCAAGTTTCAGTGCGGTCATCAGATTCATCTCCTCTGACGTTACAAATCATTTTTCTTTCTGCACATTATATGCAGTTACACGTTTCCACCAGAGAGGTCTCCAAATCCCCAAATCTTACATAGTGTATCTTTGAACGACATAGCAAAATGACAATAATAACTCAAAACTGAGGTTCAAACAAAGCATTCAACCCCTCTTAGTTCCAGGGGGTTCATGGTTCATGGTTCTGTATAGAACCATTTTCTTTAAAAGAACCATAATTTTTAAGAGCGAACATCAGATATAAAACCATGTAATACATAAAAAGGTCAAACTATATAAAACTGTATGACCTCTGTAATGCTGGGGGTTCCAGACGCTTGTATGAACTGTCTGCTTATGATTGATTGTCCATTAAAAGCAACATCAAGTTGAAAAAAAGGTTGAGGGTGAAGTTGAGAGTTAATTAAATTCAGTCTTTTTATACATTTAATTGATTCCTCTCAGGTGTCCCCTGCGCTCCCCCTCTTAGTTCCAGGACAACCCTCAAAATAGCTAGAACACCAGTCTGGTCTCTGTTACTAAAGGGCAGCACACCTCTTTGTGGGAATAAGTTCAGGAGGCAGCTCTGACAGCAAAGACTCGCTCAGTCCCCTTCATTTAGCCTGCTCGGAGCTGCAGCGTGTCATCGGCTTTCACACGCCGTATCACAGCTGCAGGCCCACTGTCAGCAGAGGGAGGGACAGGGAGGAAGACGGATAGAAGAAGGGAGCCAAACTGATGAGTCAGTGAGGCAGCTAATCAGTTCAGCTTAAGCTGCCTTTCATCCCCTGTCATTTCATTCATTGACCACATCTGACTCCTTTCTCACTTATGATTGGTGAGGATGTCGAAAATGAGACTCCAGGTGTGCGCATATGGGAGGGTGTGTGTTTGTTTTTATGCTTTTTCAGGACAAAATATAGGAGAATCAGGCTAGCCTACGATGTTAGGACCAGCCAAATTGTGCTTTTGACTAGGGATGCACAGACATTCCGATGACCAAAAATGGTCAAAACAGGCATTTGTTCAGCTGCGGAAAGAGAAAAAAACAGCACAGTTTTTACAGAAAAAAAATTCATGATTAAGATTAAGCCTACAACATAGTAGCAAAATATAAGGCCCAGTCCCATTTCTTCTTTTTACCCCTACCCCTTGTTTTCGAGTGTCACCCTAACCCCTTGGAACTGAGTTACAAGGGGTAGTGGTTGAAATCTTGCCCTACGAAATGAGACCCTCAAATAAAAACCAACATTACTTCATTAACAGCTACTAGCGCTGCTCTGTAGGCGACCCGGCCCGTCTGCAGTGACAGCAGAGGAGGGTAAAGTTCAGCTCCTCACTGCTGGGCTTTAGTTACATTTAGGGCATCATATGCCTTCAGAGAGGGGGGGCAATTATTTATTATCACCCACCCCTAATTCTTCAGTGATATGAAGCTGAAGTCAGATATTCACCAGCTTCTTGTTCGAAATTTTCCTGTTCCACCTTAAATGGTGCAGCAGTTACATTCTGGCGCTTCAGGCGTCAGAACTGCTGGACTATTTAAGGTGGAACGGGAAAGTTAGCCAGCTAGCTATCGAGACATTAGCATGCTCATTAGCGATTATGAAGAAAACGACCATAATACACTGAAACGACATTAAACTAAGATAATACAGTGATTATTGTAATTTTTTAACAGAGAAAATTCTCACATTTGTGTGTTTCTTTGGTCTCTTGTTCTCCATCTTGCTGGTTTTTCTTTTTTTCTCATAACTCTCTGTTTGGAGTCTCTGAAAAAAACCTCCGTTTGGAGGGTCATGTAGCCCCAACACTTCACTCTACCCCTCTATCTCAACAAAATTGGGACACCGTAACCCTAGACGTGAACGTGCAAAACAGAGGGCTAAGTGGTAGGGGAGAGGGGTGAAGTGGGATTGGGCCTAAAGACCAACATAATATTCTGTGCACTTGATCGTTACATGCAGCAGTTCAGAAACAAAGTTGCACACAACACATTCATTTACTCCACTAGTTATTACCAAATTAGCTAGTATTTCTTGATGCACTGTATCATTCTCACTATAAAGAGTCATCAGAGAGGTTCACTCAGTCAATGTCTGTCTCCTTTTCTGTAATAATTATAATTTCAATCCCAAAAGAATCAGAGCTTTGTGTAAATTAAAGGGGGGCATCAAGATAATCTAGCAGCGTATATCGGTATAAGTGGTAGCAGAAGCAGCTGTTTGTTAACGCAGCTAGTTACAGAAACGTTATCGTAAACTTGCGTGTTGTAATAACTCAGGAATCTGACAAAATGAAAAACTACCATCCTTGCATAATATTGATCAGGAGAATCTCCTTTTCAGCTGTCCAGTAACTCTCTTCTGTTTTATTTGCTGGTCAGTTGGCCAGGTAAAATGAATCTTTTGAAAGCACGTTGCAGTCTAGCTTCCCAGTAGGATTCAAGCAAATAAACATGCTCAAAAGTTTCACCATTTAAAGCCAACCTAACAATTTTCAAATCATTTTAATGCGAATAAGAATGAGAAATAGTAATTAAAACGCTGTTTGTTCATTTCTCTTTCCTGCGCTGGTCAGCGCGATCCAACAGTTAAAGTGGCAGCAGATAAAGAGTGAAAATGTCAGACATGTTCAGGTTTCTCTGAAGGAAAACAAAAGCAATTATTTTATTTTATTTTATTTTTATTAGGAAATTGCTGTTTAGTTTCACAGAAATACATTGACAAAATGCATCAATGCTACCTTAACATATGAAAAAGTGAGTATATAATGAAACCCAGTCTATGGGTTGTCATAGACAAAGTCCAGTCTATGACAGCTTTTCCAGTATTTCGGGAATATGTTCCTTTAAAACAAGACTATTTACAGTGGAACATATTAAGGGAACCTTACATTCTAAAGAACTTACATTGCACATTACACCTTCACATATTGTTCAGTTCAACAGGAAAAAAAAGATCTGGCCTTTTAGACAAAAGCAGTTCATAATCCCTTCGTGGTGAGTAGTAAGAGTGGATACAACACCTGATTGTTTTCCTCTGCAGGTTCGATATCTCTGCATGCTCTGCAAACAGCAAAACAGCAAGATAAGAAATTCCCCACCAGCCCAGTGACACTATCTGCAGCCACAGTTTTTGAATAACAAAGAAATTCACAAATCAAAGTGCAAAGAATAACCAAAAAATAATGGAATTCATTGCCTTGGATGACTTGTAGTCACAGAGATTAAATTCTTTGGTACATACTGTAATCATTTTAGTAAGATTATTTATGAATTGTTTTTGTTCTCAGTGTGTCCTGAATTTTGGATTCAGCCAGGAGTTTCTGTGCATGACAACTTCTAACGCAAAAAAAGAGCAAAATCATTTCTTTTTGGCTTAATAATCCATTATATCATGTCCATTCTGTCATCTCTGATTACCCAAGCTTCATCCACAATATACGTTTAAATAATTGAGTTGACGTTCAAAAATGTCTTTATCTCTCTCTTTATTTCTTTCTCTTGTTTGCTCTTACTCTCTCTCTCTCTCTGTCTCTCTCTGTCTCTCTCAGGATGGAGTGGAGATGGAGAACAGGAGGAATTTGAGGTGCAAGAATACACCCAGGCTACCTGCACACCAGGAGGAGGAGGTGAGAATAAAATTTGAAAGTACACAAAACGTTGTTTCTTCAAAGGTTTTTCAGTAAAGAAAATGGTATGTAGAACCATGAACACTCAAAGAACCTTTTGAAAGAACCTTTTGAATGGTAGAACCCTATACATAGAGCTATATAGAACCCTTTTCAAAAAGGTTCTATACAGAACTGTCTACAGCACGTTTCTCCATCAATCAGTAAAAACATTTAACCATTAATCTTTAATCATGCAAAGGGTTCTTTGAGCGTTCATGGTTCTATATAGAACCATTTTCTTTAAAAGAACCATCATTTTAAAGAGTGTACATCAAGATATAAAACCATGTAATACATAAAAATGTCAAACTATATAAAACTGAATGACCTCTGTAATGCTGGGGGTTCCAGACGCTTGTATGAAATGTCTACTTACGATTGATTGTCCATTAAAAGCAACATCAAGGTGAAAAAAAAGGCTGAGTTAATTAAAAGGGTGAAGTTGAGAGTCAATTAAATTCGATTTTTTTTCGTACATTTAATTGATTCCTCTCAGGTGTCCCCTGCGCTGGTCGCAAAAAATTCTCATGACTCCCCGTCCAGCCTGCGGGGGAAGAAGGAGGGGACGCTGCAGAAAATCGGAGGCTTCCTGCACAGCTCACCCACCTTTCTGGGCAGCAAAGGTACATCAGTCTGAATAGAATGAACTGCTCTATAATGAAATGGAAAAAGCTTTCTCTTTCCTCCAGCATTCATCCACCTTTTAGTCCTTTCCTAGACTGATTAATATTCTGAATTTTGAGATGTTTCATTAGTTTTCCTCCACAGGCCGATGTAATACTGACGCATTTACCAGCCTTTTTTTCCTTTTGCTTTGACCAATTAGTCACTAGGGGTGGGGGGGGAGGCTTGATTCTTAGATGCGTCGCGATGCCGACGTGGGCGATTCTGAATCGATTCACAAATGTCAAAAATCGATTTTCGAAATATTTAATTTTTAACGTAACGTTGACGGATCGCAAAAGGCAGAACTTGGAAGTGCGGAAGTGCAGCGTCCGGACAGTCTGTGGCGGCACATAACAAAAACACAACTGGATGAGTGAGAAATCAGACTGGCTCCCTCTGCATTAAAGCCAGATTAGGTCAGGAGTCACAACCCAAATGTTAAGAAGAGCCATTTTGTCCTTTCAACAAAAATCAAACCACCTTGGGAGCCACAACATTTAATGTCCAGTATGTCTCAGTGTGTGCTGATGTCCTAGTATAGACTAAACAATATAAACAAAAACGCGTACTTACTCTGCTCTGCTTTAAGCTTTAGCTACAGCCGCTTTCCTCCCATCTCCACCAGGAACCTTTTCCTCAAACGTAGAGCAGTTTCTTGTAAAATGTCTCTCAACGTTCGACTGTTTTATGAGGCTGAAGTCGCTTCTTATTCGCCAGGTTCTTGTTCGAATTTCCCCATTCCACCTTAAATTCTGACTGAGGCGCTAGAATGTAAATGTGGCACCATTTAAGGTGGAGTGGGAAAATTATAAAGAGAAGCTGACTTCACTTGGCTTCTATGAAGTTGAAGGACCTGGACAGGAGCCGTACTATATGCAAGTTTTGTTACACTAAACAAAATTATTTTGGAAATGATAAACATGAGAAACCATGTTACACGTTTCCACCTGTTTTCCGTCGGGTTGTACTTGCTGCCAATCAGAGGACCATCGAGCAAGCGATGTCAAAGCTTCCACACAAAAAAGAAAGAACGAAGTGCATTACAGACTCTATCGCAACTTTTATTGCCAAGGATTTGCGTCGGTACTCAGTCATTGAGAACCAGGGCTTTCGCGCTATGTTGGAGCCGAGATACAGCATCCCGTCTCGAAGATACTTTACTGACACAGCGACAAACAAGAGCAGTGATTGACAGCCTTCCAGTTGACTTGTCACATCACTTCCGTTTGTTTTTTTAGTAAAAGATATTGGAAGTAAATTCATTACGGTTCATTACAAATACTTTGCTTTAAAAGTCCTCACACAGTAAGAAGAAAGAAATCCTGTATAGAAAAAAAGATACATCAAGATGCTTCGATAATGGAGCTGGGCGATATGGCCGAAAACGTTATCACGATAAACAAAATTCATATCGTTCGATATCGATACATATTGCGATAAATGTCAAATCATGATTTCTTTCACGTTTGAAGGCTGATTTTGCTCCTGGGTGGTTAACTGTGGTTTTAAACTATCACTTATGGTCTGATCGTGACAAACACTCGGCAAACAGTGGAACATTTCACTAATCTGTCATGGAAGAGTGGGAGAAAGTTTCTGAGCTGCTTTTATCAGCTTGAAATGCACAGCTGCAATTTTTGTAATAGTCATGATTTAAGAAAGAAAACAGATTATTTTAGCTGTCTGGTGACGAGCGCTCGGCTACCCCGCTACAAATGCTAAATAAGTGGCCAACAACAGCGCTAAACTCTTTAGTTTCTCAACAACGTCAACCCGGTTCGGTAGGTCACTGCGGTCACTCCTACCACATCCATATCAGAGCAGATCACAGTATTCAGACACCAGCTAGACGTCTGGGTTTCTCTGTGCTATCGTAGTAGTTTAAGGGGTGAACCGCAGTATATCTGACGCTCGCTGTGTAAAAGCATTATCTGCAGTGTGAATCTCTCACACCAGACACAGAGTCCTCCTTTTAGGCATGTTTAAACTGAAATCGGTGATTTTGTGTCGTGTTTGATCTACAGTATCATCAATTCACCGTGTTATGCCAGAGCTCTGCTTCAAGTTAGCCAGCAGCTAAAAACAGCTAGCCTGGAAAGACAGCGCTCTCCCGCTCTCCACTGCCTCACAGCTTCCTCAGTTTACTTTCGAACATGAACCACTTCTTTCTTTCACTTTCGTTGCTCGAGAATGCACAAATACTAAAATATGACGGTTTGGCGCTGTAACACGGCGTTAGGAGGCACGGAAAGAGGTGAGTTCACTGTAGGACAGTACAGTTACACCACTGACCTCGTCACTCACACTCGGTCACAGGAGAACAGATCGCCGGTCGCTCCACTCAAACAGGGACTGTATAACTCCGCGTTTCAGACGTTGCTAAAGTATATTTGGCAACTCTTTTTTTACTCGTGGCCCTCCTCCCTCTCTAATCAAGTCGAAAAACTCGGAAGTGCGCCCTCTCCTGGCGACAGCAGAGTAGTGTCGCTTTCCTTGCAGTAGAAAACGCCGCCAGGGCTTTCGCTGAACGTGGAAGTGTGAGAATGGTGTATTATATCGAACATTTATCGAACCTGTCTTATCGCTCTATCGAGGAAAAGTTATATCGCAATACTTATCGTTATCGTTTTATCGCCCAGCCCTAATCGATAATCATTTTATAATCGCACCGCAGCCTCTGAATCGCAATGGAATCGTGAGGTGCCTAGAGATTCACACCCCTATTAGTCACTTGACTTTGAAATACAGAGCTTGGAAGCTGTAGTAGCGGCCAGAGTTCCTAAGATTGAAACTGTTGCTGATATGTTAACATCAGACGGCATCATTGAAGAAAAAATAAATAAAGAAAGAAAAACTCAGTTCTCTTTTGCTGCTCTCCTAAGTAGGTTTGTCAAGAGCTTGATTTTGGAGCAGCAACCAAAGAGTATTTTGATAACGGATTAATCTCTTTTTGACTGTTTCAATCAGTTGTTCTTTTTTTCAAATTTATCTTCAACATTAAGTATTTTATTACCATCTTGGCCAAAAAATTCTCTGAAATAACAATTATATAAAACGAATAAAATGAATATTTATGCTAGATTTTTTTTAGATAATAACAACTGTTGTGTAGAACAACAGGAAAAGATGATTATGCTGCATATTTTTATGCTGTAAATTGTACCTACAGAAACGTAAAGGTCATAACCGTGATGGCTTTCTGCCACTGTAAGGAGTTTTCTTCCTCAGCAGGGAGCTTCTCCATAAAGGTCATGTGAACTTCTGGAGCTGTACCCTCTGCCACTAATAGACCATAGGAGTTTGAGTGTGCTGGACACAAAGCAGCAGAAGAAGGAATTCTACTTCAGAGACCATTGTCAGGCATGTTCAGATGGGAAAACTGGGGGAAACCCATAGCATGACCTTCAAAAGAAAAAGGGATATTTCAGATAAATTTGGTCTGTAAATCTTTACCATCACACATAGCAGTTGTACCTCTGTGGCTCTCCTGAGAATCTTTTAAACTGAGGAGTTTTCAAATAGCCCTGTTTTGATGCACACCTACCTTACCTACCGTACCTTTGGGATCAGAAAACCGGAACTGTGCTTTTTCCATCAGCTGTCAGTCCAGTACAGACAGTTCCAGTTTCATGTTTTTTTTTCTTTCTTTATTTCATTATTGGTGAAGCCTGATCCCCTCTGTCTTTGCAAACTCTTGCAGCTAAAGTTATTGTCAATTTAAGACTTTAGAGGACAGTATATATCTTGTAAAGTCTTAACAGATTACAAAAGACTGGATATCTCACGCTATCTAACTGGTTTCTGCAGATTTTTTTTGGGCAGCTGTAAAAATATTGGGGATACTCAACTGAATCAAACAACTCATTGAACTTGCGGAAACTTTCCGCAACCTCACGTGTTTTCCTCTGCCATTTGCACTGACACAATAAAAAAGCAGCAGGTAAACATGTTTACGTGAGGCTCATGGATTAAGAAATGTGATCAGTGTGGTATTTTTTTGAGTTTAAATGTACATAAACTCCATCGTGCTCATGCTTTAAACTCAGCTCATTAAAAAGCGTCGCTCCACATGTGACTTTTCGCCGTTTTTCTTTGTTTACTTGATGTATTTTCTTCTTTTCGTAAGTTCTTACTGGCTGTTGCAGGAGTCTGTTCAGATTAATTCGTTCACAGTCAGAGTCGGGCCAAAAAAAAATCAAACGTTTGGTCTCTTCAGACTGGTCTGAACCGTGATCTGGAGACCAAAATTGTTGACTCTGACCAGAAGTCTGCAGACTAGAGCCAACCAGCACAGACTCAGCCAGACTGAAAATCACAAGTCTGTATGATTGTAGACATTTTGCACCCTGCACATTTTACGACGGCGTTTTAGGGCCACTGTTAATAAAAAAAAAAGTAGACTTCAAGAAAAAACTCGTACTATTTGGAGGATAAACTGGGCTGCTGTACTGTAGGGGGGCTGCCATAACGCGTTGGGGTCTCGGTTGCTGTACTGTAGGGGGGCTGCCATAACGCGTTGGGGTCTCGGTTGCTGTACTGTAGGGGGGCTGCCATAACGCGTTGGGGTCTCGGTTGCTGTACTGTAGGGGGCTGCCATAACGCTTTGGGGTCTCGGTTGCTGTCCTGGCGCCGGAGCTCCACTCACTCCTGTCTCTCTGTGGATCATTCTGATCATCATTCTCACTGTCTGTGAAACTTCATGCCCTCTTTGAATGGGGGGAGATGGAGCCCCCAATAGCCGTGTAGACGACCCTGCCTGAGATTCTCCTTCAACAACACAGACAGACAGTTTCCTCCGAGTCCGTCTGGCTCTTTATTCTAGATAAACACAGTTTCCTGCTCAGCCGTTTCAGCCGGTTCTTATACTAATAACAGGCTGGTGCTGATGAGCAGGAGAGACAGGGAGACTGAGTGTTTCTTTATGGGTGAATCGATATGAAAGTAGAACTCCACCAACTCACCGCCCCTCATTTAACACGAGGAGGTGCTGCTTCCCCTTCGCAAAGCCTTTGGCCACAATATTGCGACCTTTCCTGGTATTAATGCCACTTTAATGTCGTAATTCTACGACTTTTTTTCTCGAAATATTACAACTTTTTTCTCTAAATATTATGACTTCATTCTCGAAGTCTACTATTTTTATTTTTATTAACAGTGGCCCTAAAACGCCGTCTACAGTTCATCATTTCATGTCAGTCTAGTGTAGCCTATTGAATGCTTTAGATTTGTGCTATTACAGTGGGACAAAATGACCAAAAATAAACAATTAAATTGTTAATCGCTGATATTATGACTGTTCTATCTGTCTCTCGGGCAGGAGATGTAATATTGTTTCGTGTCTTTTTCACCTGGAACAGTAAAGAATTACGCTGAACGTTAACTTCAGCTGCAACTGTCAGCAAAGACGGGGGAACATGTTTGGGAAAATGAACTAGAACTAGAACCGTAAGTTCTGTTGGTTCCTGTTTGCGTCAGATCTTATTTTTAAATGCACTGTCTAATTTAAAAGGCTCAAATTTACAGCCACTGGGACTCCCAGAGTTGTTCATGCTAATGATGTTGCTTGCTACACAGCAACCGAACTAATCAGTAAAGATACTGGCAGCTGTGTTTTTCTGTCCGTGCCATTGATTGGCTGTTACAGGCTTCCTTAATTTACGAACCCATATGTGAAAATATTTGAACCAGGAACAGACGGAATCTGAGGCTGAATGAATGTAAAAGTTCTCAAGATTCTAGTTTTTCTGCTTCACCTCATGCTCTCTTTCTCTGTCCTGTCCTTTACTGTGTAGCTAAGAAGATCATGGGCTTGATGAGTGGGAAATCCCCAGACGAGGGTGGCTCCTTGAGTCTTAAACGCCACAAAAGGAAACTCTACAGGCCCAATATCTCCTCTCCTATGGACATACCAGCTCACCAGGTATACCTTCATTTCATATGCTGCATTTCAGTGCCACGTTTAACCACAGATACAAACCATCGCAAGTACGGAAATTGTAGGAGAAAGATTTGACACAGCATGCAGATTTTCACAGGCCTTTCATCGTTTTCCTGGAAGCTATTTCTCCAGTGATGACTAGTATGAAGCATCATGTTCCAGGGCCATTGAGCCTTTGTGCCACTCAGATTGTTGATCTTAATCTTGAATAGCTTTCGCCTAATGCTTAGAGCCTTCTGGCTCTTCTGGGGTTCTTTACCTCAGAGCTGAGGCTGGCATGCAGTCCAGTCACACTGCTCTATGTAAATACTGCAAGCCTGATTGTACCAGATGGGTTCATAAAACTCCATACTGTTCTTTTCATTTTCAAAAAAGGAATATATAATTGAATGATTGTTGTGCTGTTTTTTCACTATTTGATAATGGCAGCTGCCCTTTATATTGTGTGGACATTTCCTGATGATTGGACTAATAGAGGTGATTCAAAATAGCTGGAAATGCGATCTTTTTACATAAACATACAGTAGTGTGCAAAACTCAGAGACCACCCTTCATTTATTTAATTTCCAGTTAAAACCATCATTAAGTATAAGTTACTCATTTTCAGGAGATTTTTCTGAGTGAGTTAGATATAAGATAATCCACTTTCAGGGAGGGAAGAGGAAAGTCACAGGAAAATAAGTGGAATTTCCAAAACTGGAGTTAAAATATGATTAAAAGATATAGATGCAAAGGTGACGCCAGAGAGAGGAGAAAATCGAGCTCCACTCTTGCTCCTGATCTGAAACAATCCAGAGATGTTTTTGTCCATCCTTCCACTGTGAGAAGACAGTGCTGTGGGTCTAAAGCAGGGGACTTTAATTAAAATTCAGTAAGGTCCAGTTAGAGAAAATTTCCTCAAGCAAAGGTCCAGAACATCATAATGTCTAACTTGCATCATGATTCAGTGCCATATACTGTTTACTGAAGTAGCCTAGTAGGTATATCAACATCTTATACAGTCAGCAACTGAATATCAAATCAAATAAAGTACAGTTCAGTCATATTTCAACAATATTTATTGTTAGTTTTCTCTTTTTAGATCACAACATGTGAAATAACTTCCCTCTGACTCACTTTCTTCTCCGACTGCTGTTTTTTGCCTCGTGTGTGCGTCAGTGCTCATCGTAATGCACAGAACTGATTGGCTGAGATGCGTCACGTGTCATATTTACAATGCATGCGATTGGTCTGTGAGTCTCCTGGGCCGCTAAAGCTACCGTAAAGGCTTGAAAAGCTACGCCAATTAAAACAGGACCACCCCGTCAAAATTAAATAATTCTCCATAGTTTATCGGTTAAAGGTCGAGGTCAGCATAGGACAGCATCTGGGTCCAGACTTGGACCGCGGTCCACCTATTAGTTACCTCTGGTCTAAAGGATGTGTAGGTCAAGGTAGGTTAAGAAGCCGTTACTGCAAAAAGGATAGACAAAAAAGGAAGAAAATTTAAAAATCAAACAAAGGATGTTTTCTCAGAACAGTGGACTGGCCACCCCAGAGTCCAGACTTCAACATCACTGAATGTGTTTGGGATTACTTGGGAAAATGCAACCAACTTCTAAGGCTGAACTTTGGAGGTGTGGAGAAATATTCCTGCAGATTTCTCTGAAAAACTGAAAGCAAGTGTCCCAAAAAGATTGGTAGCTGTAAATAAAGGCAAAGAGAGGATAAACTAAATACCGACAGCATTAACATCATGTTTAGTTGTTCAGGCTGTGTCTTCTTCTGTATGATATATTTTCAGATTTTTTTTTTTATCTGACACTGAAAAATAACTTGTACTTAATGGCTGTTTTGACTGGAATGAAATAATAAAGTTAACAACATTTTCTCTCATATAAAGTTGCCATTCTAGAGGTAGAAGAGTTTGTGTTTGTGAGTAAAAGTGCTTTTTTCTTTTTGGAACAATGCTCCGACTTCTTGGCTCTGTTATTAATGCGATTTGTCACTGTAGAGTTTCTCGGTCAGTCAAAACCATTGCCCTGTCAAATACATTTTCTCTGTCATTCAGAAATAATTGCCCACCCAAAAGAGGCAGCCTCATCACTGATTAAAATTCTAAGCGTGTCTGGTTCTTGGAGAAGTCCAGAATGGAGGCTGAGTAAATTCCCACAATCCGCACTGCAAACCCCGAACGTGTCCGAAGTGGCCAGTGATGAGCACAGTGAGCCGGCATTTACACGGAAGACAGGCTGCCTTGTGTCTTCAGAACAGCTTTGCTGCTTCTTGGAAAGCTGTTAGGCCCATTTTGAACAACATCTACTAGAAAACTGGACCGTTTTTCCAAAAAAAGGCTTGTAATCACTTCGGAACAGGCGGTGTAGGGTCAAAGCTTCTGTAGGTTTCCTCTAAACACAAACTCATCCAGGTGTAGAGGGCTGAAAATAGTACTCATGAGTCAGTGTTATTTTCTTTGTCTTCTTTGAGGTCCAGATTCAGGTTTTTTGATTCATAGGTTATTTTTCATGTTATTTTTGCACGCTGGTTTTTCTAAAGGCATTTAAATAGCAGCTTTTACTGACGCTTGCCTGTGTCTTCATTGAAACTATGTTGAGGATTCTGTGTCGGTGTTTTTTGGCTCTTTTTCAGTTTTTTTTTTTTAAAGAGCAGCTCTGCTGTTTATGTTCGTCCATCCCTGTTAGTGAGCCTCACGTTGCAACCACTGTCCCTTTTTTTCCTGAGGCAGTTTTTCCTTGTTAGGCATATGCTGTCATGATTTGTGACATCGTCCCACTTGACACTATATAAATTTTTTGCTGTTTCTGTGACTGGCACATGGGCAGTTTGCAGCTCCTGCTGTCGGACCACTTTTACGACCTGTTAAGTGACTCATGCTGCTTCAGTGAACCACATCGTAAAATAATAAAAAGACCTTTAAATGCCTTTTATAGCAACACATGTTAGTAATGACTTTTAATAGAACTTGTTTGAGTCTATTCATATTTAATTGTTGCATAAATAGAGAAGGAAGGCACAGATTCGATACTGGGTCTGAATGAAAGAATGAATCTGATCCAGTCCTGTCGCAAATCCAGCCCGAAATCAATTTGTTTTATGTAGTTATGTTAACATAGTGTCGTTCTTCCATCATCTTAAGCCCTGTTGGAGATGGACTTGTCGTACCTGGACATGCAACTACTGATGAAACCTGCTAATAACAAAACCTCTTCAAAACCTCCTCGATAATAACAAATTACAGATTTTGTAGCGACTGGAAGATGCTGAAATGGATCTAAGCTGCAAGACGCAAAAATGTATGTACACTATGTGGCCAAAAGTATGTGGACATCCCGACCATCTCACCTATATGTGCTTGTTGGACATCAAATTCCAAACCCATGGGCATTAATATAGGGTTCTCAACACCCCAGCACACCCTCATCCCCCCTGCTTTTTGTGGCTACTCCACTCTTCTGGGAAGGCTTTCCACAAGGGAAGTCGTGTAGCCACTGAATGTTAAAATGGTAGGTTTTCTTATCTAATAAGGAGGGGTTATAGCAATGAAAGCTGCCCCTTCAGATGAGCCAACACTGGCAATAATCTGTGCAACGTTATATGGACAGACTCATCATCTTGTATACGAGGTCTTTCTCTCACTCACTCACGGACACACTTTCCCATCCCACTTTTGATTCGCCCAGGCCACTCTATAGCCTTAGCAAGTATAATGAGAAAAATTCGCTCAAATATGGTATTTTATCTGGCTGTCAACTCCTTTCTGCATGCGTGAAAGAGTAGATGAACACTATGCAAATTATAAATGATACAGGACTGTGCAAAAGTCAGAGATCAACCTTCATTAATTAAATTTCCAGTTGAAACAGCTTTGCGTTATTCATTCAAAGGAGAACAAGTTGAAAAATAGTTTACAAAACTTGAATTGATAAAACAATTGAAAGATATTGAGAAAATGAGAATCCTTACAACTCGAAAATCTAGTAGACCACCAAAACTTCACCATCTTAACAACAGTACAACACTGTCCATCCTTCCACTGTGAGAAGGCACCTCAACCCTAGTCTGAAAGGAGGTGTAGCTGTCAAGAAGCCATTTCTGAGAACAGAAAATGGACCAAAAATAAGAAAACTTGCAAATGAAACAAAGAAGCTGCTGGTGGTTTCAGGACAACGGACTGGACTCCCCAGAGTTCAGACCTCCAGATCACTGAATGTGTTTGGGATTATTTAGTTTATGAGAAGCAGAAAATGCAACCAAATTCTAAGACTGATCTTTGGAGGTGTGGAAAAATATCCCTGCAGATTTCTTTGAAAGACTGAAAGCGAGTCTCGTTTCTGTAAAAGTATGATGCATTTCTTACTTCTGTTTTTGATCATCTGTCTTTTATCCTTTGTTAGTTTTGCTGACATCATGACTGTCGATTTTCCTTCTGGAAAAGAAAAGTAAAACCATAATAATATCTTTCTTGCAGATCATTAGTCAAGATGCAGAGGAGAAAGAGAGCGACCATCTCATCATTAAGAAGCGACTACGGACCAGAACTCCGAAGTAATAGGATCTGGTGTGGAACGGGAATGTCATACAATGTATATCACTATAAGCTTTTTTTCCTTTAAAATGAAGCATTCCATCCTTTTTTAATCAGTTGCACTTTTTATCTTTTTTTGCACACATTTATCCTTATTTTAGTTCATGCTGTATTAAATGTTATCCAGTGTAACCGTCCAGTAATGTAAAATACTGTTAGAACTTTGTTGTAGATCACAAATTAGACACTTTTTCTTAAGTTATAATGAGGTAGATTTTTTGCTGCTAAAATTGCAGAATGGGATTCAGCTGTATGGATCAACATCAACACTACTTCATGCTGTGTTTACTACTGTATCTCAAGCAGCCCACCGTATGAATATGCTGTCAAGCAAATAAATGTAAAATAGCACTGATGTCAGTTGGACTTATTTATATTTGTTTTGATCCACGTATACTGATATACTCTTTACCATGGCAGACCCTGGCTTTTGAACTTTACGCTGGTAACAGTCTGGATGGTCCCTTTATGCTTTGGCCCTGAGATCACGATGTCCATTTTTAATATGAACAGTGTGAGAGTTTGACTCATTGGACCACAATACACTTTTTCACTGTGCATCAGTCTGTTTGAGATGAGCTGAAGTCAGATATTCACCAGCTTCTTGTTCCAATTTTCCCGTTCCACCTTAAAAGGTGCAGCAGTTACATTCTGGCGCTTCAGGCGTCAGAACTGCTGGACTATTTAAGGTGGAACGGGAAAGTTAGCTAGCTAGCTACCGAGACATTAGCATGCTATTAGTGATTTTTTATGCTTGTTATGAAGAAAACGACCATAATACACTGAAACGACATTAAACTAAGATAAAACAGTGATTATTGTAATTTTTAACAGAGATAATTCTTACATTTGTGGGTTTCTTTGGTCTCTTGTTCTCCATCTTGCTGATTTTTCTTTTTTTCTCATAAATCTCTGTTTGGAGTCTCTGAAAAACCTCCGTTTGGAGGGTCATGTAGCCCCAACACTTCACCCTACCCCTCCATCTCAACAAGAATCGGGACACCCCTACCCCTAGACGTGACCGCGCAAAACAGAGGGCTAAGGGCTCAGTGGTAGGGGCGAGGGGTGAAATGGGATTGGGCCTAAGACTGGGTAGGGCCTCTAGAGTGCTGTGGTGTTCACCCTCATCTAACACTTTGAATTCAGTTCATGAAGGCCTTACCAATTAGCTGATGAGCTGAATCAGGTGTGTTTAATGAGACAGTGTGCTGAAGAGGGCAGTGTTTTGGCCCATGAGGACTGGAGCCTGACACGTGTTTTAGATGATGGGTAAAGTGTGGCCATGAAGGCACTGGCAACCAAACAATTATTGATAAGTATTAACAAAGTGCACCAAGAAAACATTCCCCACACCATTACACCACCTTCACCAGTTTGGACTGTTGGTACAAGGCAGGTTGGTTCCATGGATTCATGCTGTTGGTGCCAGTTTTGGTGACCTATGCCTACTGCAGCCTCAGCGTTCTGTTCTTGGCTGACAGAAGTGGAACCCGACGTGGTCTTCTGCTGTTGTAGCCCATCCACCTCAAGGTTTGATGCGTTGTGCATTCTGAGATATGCTCACCACAATTTTACAGAGTGGATATCTGAGTTAGTGTAGCCTTTCTGTCAGCTGATACCAGTCTGGTCATTCTCCGTTGACCTCTCTTATTAACAAGGCGCTTCTGTCCTCAGAACTGCCACTCACTGGAGGTTTCCTCTTTATTGCATCATTCTGACTAAACTCCAGAGACTGCTGTACGTGAAAACCCCAGGAGATGAGCAGTTTATAGAAATAGTCTGACCAGCACCAACAATCATGCCATGGTTAAAATTGCAGAGATCACAATTTTTCTCCGTTCTGATGGTTGATGTGAACATTACCTGAAGCTTCTGTCCCGTGTCTGCATGATTGGCTGTTTAAATAATTGCATGAATGTGTAGGTGTACTGGTGTTCCTCATAAAGCGCTCGGTAAATGTATGTCTTCCAATTTTGCACAGTAGTCTTAACTTGAATTTGTGGAGGCAACAACAAAGGTGGTTTATGGATTTTTTGGAATTGAGGTTTGTAAATTAGCACTGTGCTGTGATCGACGCTACTTTCCCATCACTGAAGCTTCACTGGAAAATTACTAGTCGTGTGTCGAACGTGAGTGTATGTTTCTAGCTGCAAGTAATTTTCAGCGTGCCAACCACTCATGCTTTCAGTTGTTATAGTAACACAGGTAGGCACGGGTATATCGCTGCTGTCGGAAGAAAACCTCATATCTCCATTTTTGACGTTTTCCAGTTTTCGACATAATTTGAAAATACCTCCTACCCTGTACATTGTGTGTCGATTTCATGATAAATGGACTAAAAGAAACGACCTAAAATGACTTGGAAAAAAGTCTGGTTCCATTGACTTACATTAAAAGTAAAGTATGTGTTTTCCTTCTCCTATAAAGTTACCATTTTGGAGATGCAAGGTTTTCTCCCGACGACAGCGACATGTTACCACACTAACTTGTGAACATTTAGAAGTTGTGCAGAAACACATGGGTTCTCACTCGCAACCCTGTCATTCCCATACTGAGACCCACGGTTTGCAAACCACTGCAGTAGAAGAGTTGAGACCTCTGTGATGTTCTTGAAACTGCTTGTTTTGTTTTCGCAGCTTTGGCCAGCCTGAGCGAAAACACATTAGTGCATGCCTGCCTGCAGTAAGGACTCCCTGCCAATCCAATTTAAGCTGGCAAGCCCTGCTATCCAATCAGAAAGCAGGTTAAACACTAATTGCCGCTGTGTTATCATTGGCTGTGAAGAAGGGGGTCTTTTAAATGTCTCTCAAAAAAAAAAAAACAACCCACCACTATTATCATGTCGGCGAGGCTCTTCGTGCCAGATCCAGAATGGCACCCAGCCGACTCTTCATTTGAATTTCTGAGCAACGAGCTTAATGCAACTTGGAGGGATAATCAGATTGACTAAGAGTTCAGACAGTGGAGCTGCACTCAGAGCCCAAGTAGTGCAGACAGGCTGAACAGAGAGGGACAATGTAATGAGGGAAGGCTTGCGACGGGCGACAGGAAGTGGGCCGGTTGGGACAGCGAGTTGTCGGCGGCTGAGATGACTCACGGATTTTAGGCGTGTGTCAAAAGTGTGGGGTCGGGCGAGAAGGACAAAATGGAGGCGCGATATCTGTGTGTGTGTATGTGTGACGGTAAGAGGAGGATGAGGGACAGCTGTCGAGTGAGAACAGTGGAGGAAAAAGAGCAAAGCCTGCTCTCGCAAATGTTTTCATATCTTTTAGGATGTTGTGGGGTCACATCATATATATATTATGCCTACATATGTCTTGTTCTACCTATACGCACACATACGGTGCATATATACACCGATCAGGCATAACATTATGACCACCTCCTTGTTTCTACGCTCACTGTTCATTTTATCAGCTCCACTTACTATATAGGTGCACTTTGTAGTTCTACAGTTACAGACTGTAGTCCATCTGTTTCTCTGATACTTTGTTAGCCCCCTTTTACCCTGTCCTTCAGTGGTCAGGACCCCCATGGACCCTCACAGAGCAGGTACTATTTGGGTGGTGGATCATTCTCAACACTGCAGTAACACTGACGTGGTGGTGGTGTGTTAGTGTGTGTTGTGCTGGTCTGAGTGGATCAGACACAGCAGTGCTGCTGGAGTTTTTAAACACCTCAGTGTCACTGCTGGACCGAGAATAGTCCACCAACCAAAAATATCCAGCAGCACTGCAGTGTCCTATGGGCAGCGTCCTGTGACCACTGATGAAGGACTAGAGGATGACCAACACAAACTGTGCAGCAGCAGATGAGCTGTCGTCTCTGACTTTACATCTACAAGGTGGACTGACAAGGTAGGAGTGTCCAATAGAGTGGACACAGTGTTTAAAAACTCCAGCGGCACTGCTGTATCTGATCCACTCAGACCAGCACAACACACACTAACACACCACCACCACGTCAGTGTTACTGCAGTGTTGAGAATGATCCACCACCCAAATAGTACCTGCTCTGTGAGGGTCCATGGGGGTCCTGACCACTGAAGGACAGGGTAAAAGGGGGCTAACAAAGTATCAGAGAAACAGATGGACTACAGTCTGTAACTGTAGAACTACAAAGTGCACCTATATCGTAAGTGGAGCTGATAAAATGGACAATGAGTGTAGAAACAAGGAGGTGGTCATAAAGAAACGGTGGTGACTGAAAAGAAATGCTTTGTTTTTTTTTGTTTCAAGATATTTTTGACCTAATAATACACAAAAACAAACATGGCAGTTAAAGCATGAGCGTGCACAGCTGTGTGTTTGTGGAGGGTTTTGTTGCCGAACGTGTTGCTGACGTCATAATTGTAGCCATCAGGCGCTGAATGGACTCGGTGGTTGAATGCTATTCACAGCTTTGTGTGCGCGTTGAAGAGAGAAAGTTCCTGCGTGGGTCTGCATGTGTTCGCTTGTGCAAAGCGGCCGGCAGTGGGAGAGATCTGCGTTTGTCAGAGCTTCTTTCTCTTCGTTGCTTCACATGTGAACTATATGTGTTACTGTGCACAGTAACGGTGTGTTTTCTTTTTGGACATTATGTTTTGGTAAAGTCTTTGATTTGATAGAATCTATCACACTTCAAGTTCAGCTGCATTTAATAGATATTTACTTCAGTGTTAGTTAAAGACAGACTGACCATTTTCAAAGCATCTACAAAGGACTCAAAATATAATGTTACCATGTGTTTCTGTAATGTGCAACATTAGAGGAGAATTATAGCAAGTTTTTCCAAATTTCTGCAGGATTAAAGCTGCACCATGTAAGCTTTGGGGATTTGGAGCCCTCTCTGGTGGAAATGTCTAATTGCACTCATTTTACATTTTATACCATTGGCTGTGCTTCAGCCCCCTTCCCTGAGCGGATGAATCTGATGATTGCGAGAGCATCGAAAGAGAATTCAAAGAGATCAAAACTCAGTCAAAGCGATGTCTCCTGAGGATGTAAGTGGATTATCTACTGTTGTAACCATTTCTTCATCAATATAATGTTGATTTGCATTTGAGACCTAAACATCGAGCCAGGCCATCTTTTTGACTCTGACGTGGCTCAAAAAATATTCTTAGCTTATTTATTTCCTTCTTAAATTGCAACATGATTCCTAAATCCTGTTCAATTTGTCTCAAACAGCTTTTTGAATAAAATGAAGACTAATAAATATTATTATTATTAATATGTGTTATGCAGTGAACACTTAGATTTGAAACGTTGGGGTCTTAAAAGGTATTAAAAAGCATTTTTAAAAGTTTTAATTTGGCAGTCCTCTTCGTTTTTTTGTTTTCATTTTAATCATCAATTCAGTCCACTCACTG